TACTGGGACAGACCCCAGAACCTCTCTCGTTCCCAATGCCGAAACGAATTCCCTCACCTGATCAACGGCCCCTAGAATCTCTCGGGGGAGGAGAGCAATCCCAGAAACATCTCCTGAAATTGGGGCTGCAACAGAGCCAGAGATAAGGGCGGCCAATGACAGATATTTGATGAGCTTCATTGTGGACAGATTAATCTGGGAAGGACCTTTAAAAGACATGGAAGAGTCAGCAGCTGCCTCTCGAAGGATAGGTTCCGGCAACGGATTGGGTATATCTCCAGGTGTCTTGAAAGCAATCAGATACATAGAATAAAATGTCACTATTACTTACCTGGATATCTGGAAGATATGCGGATGAGTAGTTGAAATCTGCGCGTTGAAGTCAAGCTTGGCTCTTTCTTGTTGATGTGGAGCTCAATACTCGGAAAGGAGACGGGCGTATATATATTGAAAATCGAGCACCGGTCGAATCTTCTCGAATCGCTTGGGTAAGCATCGTATTGATGGTCTTTACTCTCATTGATGTATCACCTTGCGAAGGACAACAGATCGATCCAAAAAAAAATCATCCGTCTTTTCGGCCCTTCCGACCAGCTTACCTCGATCACCACGCCTGGCTCCCTGTTCACCGCCAAAATTATCGAGCGAAGAAAAAATACATGTCTGTAATTCGTATTCAAATTGGTCATAATCATGGTGTTCTCTGGTGTAAGTTATGCAGAATGCCGTCTGGTGTTACGGAACCGAGTTAGTCGGTGTTGAATCTGAAAGTCAGATGGCACAAGACGCTCACCTCGTTATACCTTTCCTGTTACTCTCACTACATTGATAATATTATCTTAACTAGTCAGACGTAACAAATTCCACGGTCCATCCTTACCACCAATGGTACTAGAAAGAGCGGTGAGAAATCCCAAAGAATACTGGACGCTGGCGGCCGTAGCTAACTGATAGCTTGTGACCATGTAAGTAGGATTTTTTGATCACTCAGTATATCTCAACTCATGTGAAGTCTGTCAGATTATGCTTTCATATCAATCTCGTATCAAGGCTCCGATACACAACGCAATTAGCTTCAATCTAGGAACACGGACGCACATCGAGACTATGGAGCCATCAATCCATCCACTGTCCTTTCATCCAGGTCATCTGGTGACATTTTGAGAATACGAGGACGCGGTACTACAAGAGTATTCGGGCTTGGGTATAGATATCAGATAATCTCAACTCCAATCACTACACTTGCACATACACTTCAAAGGAAACGAAGGAACTTCCATTTATTCTGTCCACAGCCAAGATTTCCAGGTATACCTCCCATCAATTACACTCAAAATATTTGATATTTACATATGTGTATCAGATAATTGCTTGCGATGGAAGAATTGAAGTGGAAGAAGCAATTGGGCCTTGCCGAGAAATCATACAGCACATATGAACCAATCACAGACTCTGGCACTCAATCAAAAACGGCCGTGCCAGAAAAGCGTCGTCGTTGCCGCTCCTTCATTCTTGGGGCCCTTCTCCTCATCTCCCTCGTCGTAATCGTCCCGACTGTAGGCACCCTATGGTTCAAGAGGAGAGACACTTTGGTATGGCCAAAAGATTTCACCAGGCTAGATCCTCAAGCACCTCCAAGAGCAGCATTACATTGCGGGGATTCCCTTGAGGAAGCGAAAGCACGCGGCTGCATTTTCGATATCGTCACCGCAAACTACATTCACAGAGACTGCCCTCTCGATTTCCAGGATGAGTTCTACTACTACCAGAATGGGACACCTTGGACATGTAAGAACTGTCAAGCAGTAGCCGCTTCCCCTTCCAGTGTCATTTGAATACCCCTGAGAGATCAAAAACGACAATGGCTGACATCTCAATCACTAGACTGGAAAGATCAGAGAGGAACCATGCCCATGACGCTCGAGGAACTGGCCGATGCGGATGAGTACTACAGCACGGACCGAGAGCATACCATCCATTGCGCGTTTATACTCAAGCGTCAGCATGCCGTGATGGCTCGAGGAGACAGATTGGACAGTATGACAGGAGGATTTGCGCACGCAGATCACTGTGTCCAATACTTGCTAGAGGGTCTCAGAAAGTCCGATGAGCAGTTAGATAGGATAACCACGCATTCTGTAGTTCGTTGGTTGGATTGTTGAAGTACTGGTTTTCAGACATGCGGCAGTATACTATGTGAGCAGGGTTGAAAAAGAGTATCAGAGACACGGAGGGAAACGCGACTTCATATTTCTGTTGACAACCTTTGAAAATCAATGAAAGCAGACCTATTGCATGACTCGACCCTGATATTTCCCATATTTACACAGTGGTTCGGCTCCAGCCAAGAGTATATGGTGCTCCGAAGTTGTGCAAACTCCCAAGCTCGCAGGAAAGTGGCGTTGAGGATAGATTCGATCAATCGCATGTGGTACAAAGATCACTCGATCCATCTCGTTTCAATGTCACCTTCCAGAAGTATGAGTCCTCTATTACCGCCTCTTCAGATTGACACTTCAACATTGTCGAAAAATCCACGGCCTGAAAGGTTGGTCAAATATGTGACCGTCTATAAATACCAGACTATTTATCGCCCGTATGGAAGTGAATGGTTTTCAGATAAGCGAATGAGCAACGTGGATTTTTGTTGACTAAGAGTGAGGCCAGTAAGTCTTGGCATCCAGGTCAAGAAATGACCCAGCCATACCACTTGATGCCTTCCATCTCAGGTCACGGTAGTACTCAACGAGTCCTCTTTTTGGATAAATGGTCGAATGAGACCAATTATGGGTATGAATAGCTTCTGTAAGCGATTCCCGATATCGCCGTATTGCTCTTGAGTCGGGAACAGTTTTGAAGCCATAATTGATAACGATGGTCATTTTGGCGAAACTTCTGCTCGAACCCTCTTGCCACTTCCAAATGGGAACTGTTGAAATATTGGTGCATTCGGTGTTCTAGGTTGATATCGTGTAATTTTGAGCCGGTGGGTGAGCCTCTTCATAGAATTCTTAGTAGTACCAAGCTCCGACAGCTTAATCTCATGGCAATGCCTCGTCCTCTTTACAAGAATCAACTTCTGGTGTAAGTTGTGAGACGTTTGATCTATATTGATGTGCGAACACATAAGAGGATAGATGGTTCCAGACACGCTAGTGGCTAGATTCATTTACATCAAAATCAAAGCCCGACTAAGCACATTTGAAAGATCAATACTTGGTTCGCTTAAAGCAAACAGGGGGCTCGCTTAGCCTTTGACAAACAGTAACAAGCTTGTGTTGTGAAATAATTAAACCGCTTAAGTCGACCGCAATAACAGGGCTACTTAAATCGTAACAAGGCTTCTTAAGCCTTGCAGCTGAGACATTAAATTCGAATTTCTTTTCCCAAGATCAGGCGGCCACGATAACAAGCATAACGGTCTCCAGATACCCAAGGCATGCAGCATGCTACAAATCTCGATATTGTTTAACAGTCTCCTTCCAAAATATCTCATACACACTCCGAACAGATATCTATAAATATCCGTCTTGTAGATTAGAAGATTTGAGCATCGGGGCGTAGTTGGGGGCAGGGTAGGGGGGTGGTGGACAGGGGCTGTGTAGCTCATCAATTGTTCACTAGAGCTCATCCATAGTTCGCGTAAATCTCCACCTTTGTTAAGAACACCCCCCTTTGTTTACTGCGAGCACACGAGCTACTAGTCTTTCATATAGCAATGGTATTGTTAATTTAATTATTACATTTACGGATCCAATTGAATAGATTAATAGTTGTAATAACTGAATATGCATTGCATATGGGGGTGTCGATAATAATAAAAGGTTAAAGTTTAGATTCAAAAATCTACGCGAACTATGGATGAGCTCTAGTGTACAATGGATGAGGTTGTTCCTGGATGGAGATGACGGAGAGAGTGAGCGCATCGAGTGATACGGATCTGGAGCCCGGGGAGAAGAAGTTGTCGAAGTTGAGGTTCTGGCAGATGGGCAAGGTTGTTGATGCAGAGAAAGGTGGGTGAACGTGCATATGCAAAGTCGAATGGTTTACTTGTTCATCTGTCACTGCGTGCCTGTGTGTCCTGTTTTTTCTTTCTGCGACGCCGACTTGCATTCAAATTTATATATTTTTCTCTATTTTATGTTCCGCGCTGTGTAGTCCGGCCTGCTCGGTGTTTTCGGGGAGCGATGCTGCATTTCCGTGCTATGCCGCTTGTATTCAAAGCGCTTACAAGCTCGCTACAGCACACTACTACAAATTTAAGCGAATGGAGCTTGATCCGTGGCTTGATCACCTCAAACGCATATCCAGAAAATTTGACGCCTATTATATTCAAGTTTAATCTATTATCCAACTTGTTATCCCTCGAAAATCTTCGCTCAATATTTCCTGCTCAGTTTGTTTCTCCTCCTCGTGCAGCTACATGTACCTGGATATACAGTTTCGGTCAACCGTTGCTCCCTCAGAGGAAGTCATTGACACCGAGAACTAGTTGTTCAGCATATTCCTCCAGTCGGGGTTCCGGACCAGGACGTTTTGGAGATTAAGAATGTACTCCTGCGTCACACGATGCGAAGCCGACTCCCACACGAGAAAGGGATAAATCCATATGATAGAGAACGCACAGAGTAGTATCCAGTAGATGACCATTCGAAGGCTGTGCATTAACTGCGAACACGTTAGTCAGTACGTCCACAAAATACCGTAAACCACAGAGGGAGCTATCGTTGAGCTGAGCCAGTGGATTAAAACTCACAGAGTCTCGGAAAAAAGTTGCAACGGCGATGCCCTCGCGCGCGAGCCCCGCTGCTATCGACGCTGTTGCGCGCTCGACCCGCTGCCGGGCAATCTCCCCCTCGTAGATTTCCCGGATAGGGTCTATGACTTCTCGGAGGGCGCGGTTGACCGATTGTCCGATGGCGTGAGACAGATGCGCAGGGTCGCCCAGGGCTTGCTCGATCTCTTCGTTGCGGCCCAGGAGATGGACCAGGACGGTGGATTGTCCGCGGGCCTCTTCCTCGATCCGTTCCAGGACGCCGGAGATCTCAAGGAGACCGGTGTTGAGGTTGTCGAGACGCTCAGCGTAGCCGACGTTGGCCGCTCCCATCCGGTCGACGTCAGTCTGGAGGTGATCTCGGATCGCCACGAGGGTTTCCGCTGTGTGTTCGGCGATGGTTTCTAGACTTCGCTGCTGCTGTTGGGCTGCCGGGGCTGGGGCTGCTGGTACGGCAGCCGTTTGTTGTGGCGCCTGCGATTCTGCCATTTTGGTTTGATAATTCCAATTTTTTGCAGTGTACTTGCGCGAATACTGAGGGAGATATTTGCATCGAGAGACTTATCCTTTCAATGAAATATATAACATCGGGACTTGAACAAACAAATCCGTTTGCGGCCCAGCCCGGTAAGCAATATCGACTGATGCGGCGACTTGGGAACTCGCAGTCAACGTCCTTTGTTGGCCCGTCAAAAGACTCACTTATTATGTCTTTTTTCTCTTTTTTCTTCTTCTTATTCTTCTTCTTCTTCTTTGCTGTTGCAAAATTGGAATCCCATCAACCGTGTGTTTAAACTTTCGGAGCCTCGCAGGTTGGTGGTCTTCTACAAGCATCACCAACAGTAGCATGCCGACCTTGGCCCCGAATACTTCATTTCAGAAAGCCCCGTATGTCACACCGAGGATTATTGACATGCTTAAAGACGATTCTCCCTTCACGGGAGGGCCCTCTCGATCGGAACCGACCTGGACGACCTGTGGTATGCTCCTAATTTTGTTCATTGTCAATTTGGTGCCACTCCTTCTCAGCAGACGCGGAAGCCGGAACCGGGAATCAGTCTTCCGATACTTCTTGAAGCTGTCGATTGTGTACGGGACCGTGTTCTTCGGGGTTTTGGTGGTCTGCCTGATATATACCATCGGCAATTACAACAATCCATTATTCCCGCTGGGGAACCATTTCCTCACGACACAATTCAGGTGAGGAGTCTCCCCAGATGAACGGGGGTATTTATTGCTGCCATGTTCGGAGGGCAGTGAAATCTAATCGGGATTTAGGGAGTGCGGCTACCGCTTTGTGCAGCTCAGATGCGAGACCAGCCAGATGTTCGAGCGGGAGTGCTTCGCGTTGGGGATGTGTGTGGTCCAGCCTCTATATTTATTGAAGGCCCACACATTCCTCAGCGAGCTTGTAAGGATCCTTTGGGTATGCAGGAGGCAATACATTGGGACCGTCAGTCTCTGGATTCTGGCCGAGACCTTTCATCGCTACAGGCGGGTCGTGGGATATCAAGGACGAATGGAAAACGAAGGTACCTTCCCGTCCCTTCCATCGCAGGATCAAGCTTTGTGGAATCCTCTTCAGAGATCCCACTTAGCCGAAACATCTGCGCTTTCGGAAGCTGGAAAATACGAGGTTCATCATGGCTGATATTTGTGTAGCTCTCGAGGAAAGCTTTTGGCCTCTGCCATTCTGGCAATTGCCTGTTAATTTCGGCTTGACTGAACGCATCCGTAATTTTCTGGATGAATTCGATGATTGGTATAGGCATTGGTTCCTGACCCATGTTATATGATTGGTGGTGCCCGGCACATTGTAGGGGGAGCGACGTGGCTTGTGGTTATCGGGATCAACGGAGTTTTCGAGTCGGTTTTGTCAGAGGTCACAGCATTGCGATTTTGTCTATCTATTAGTTGCCCACAAAATATAATAATAGTCACTATTGTCAGTCCACTTCAAAGCGTGCTTCAATTCGTGGGGGGATTTGCTCCTGCGCTGGGGTGCGCGCCATCCTGATGGTTGCGGTGAGGGTGGGGGATTTGAAAGGCGCGTCCGGATATGGAAGGCGCGTCTTTGTTTGGAGGGAGGTTCGGAGAGGTCGTGAAGTCGCTGCAACAAAGGAAAAAAATATCTCTATAGAGAGAGATATATATATAATTTAATTCGCATCACTTAGGGATCAAAGAAGTTCCCGCCTTTGTTGTCGACTTGGTGAACTTGGGCTGGTGTTCTTCGCCGCGGCTTGCAGTAGATGGCGGCCGCGTCGCGCCAAGGCTCAAACATACAATTCTGAGCCCTTCCACATTCAGACCTCCCAACTCGAAATATCAAAAAACGAAAAAAACGAAAAAAACGAAAAACAGACAAAACTACAAAACCTTCACAGCCAACTTACACACGAGCGGAGTGTAAGCTGACTGCTTAGTACAAGGGCGGAACCATTGTTTATCTGTTAGATCTCCTTATTTTCTGGATGGGGTGTATGCTCTTAAACCCGGAGAGTGCCTTACTTTGGAGATCTAATTCTTGCAATGAAAGTGTTGAATGGGAGTTATATACCTGACAGTAAGATTTGCCGCCGGGTTTTTGCCGCGATCCCGCCGACCACCAACAACCGCCTGCTGAAGCATAGATCGCAAGCCTGGGGAGAAATTTTTGTCTGCGGGAATCCAGAGATTTACAAAAATATAGAAATCCAAGAATCTGACAGTCTCTACAAGATTGTGGGTAGAGGAGGAGTACGAACGTTTTTTCAGCAGCCGGGCAAGACTTGAGCGAGTTCGAGAGCAGCAATCCGGCCGAACTGCCCAGAATGGATGGAATGCTGCTGCTGCATGATGGCTGGGTACTTGCCAGCCCAAATCTCACAGCTGATGGAGAGACTGCCCCAGCTCACCACCAACTTTTGGTCCTCATGCTCCACAACTTCGAAAAGAGAGTTGAGCCTCACTTTTAGCAGCAGTCGAATATCCGCTGGAATACCATACATATCTCATATGACTTACACCACTAATCGTCTCAAACGGAGTGAAAGTATCATAGACCGAAGACGAAATGCACCTAAGACCAATAAGAGGAGAAGCCCGAAGGCTAGTAAGTCGAGGCCGTCGTCATGTTTTCCACCACCATCATATTCAATAGTCCTTTGAAGTTATGCCTCCACGCCAGCTTCCCATATTTGAGAGCCGAGTGCCACCCAGCGACTATTGCTTCCGATGTTTCCCCGTTTGCAATGACCAGCTCAGAGTTCTCCATCGGTCTGGTGTGCCAGAAACAGCAGTAGTGGTTCTATCCCACTGAAAATTGGTACTTCCAGGCAAGTGGCTACCTGCCACGCAGTATAGAGCCGACACGACACTACACCCCGTCTTCAAGGGAGATTTGGCCACTGATCGCTGGGGTGAAAAAATCTTCGAGATCTTACCGCGACCCGTAGTCCGTCGGTTCAGACAAGACCTGCAACCCTGGAAATCCACAAGCATAAGCTCTTTCAGCGGCGCATAGCAGCCGGAGACTTTCTAAACAATTCTATATATTTAATCAAAAGTGCTTAGCATTTGTACTCGATAGTATCTTTCAAGTCCTAAAAATTCACGTTCTACATGCATTGGATAACTTCACTTTCAATCTCTCTTATGATTCTTGATAATGATAATGAGTGACATTGTATAAGTATATATTTTAGACGACAAATAATCGTATAAACCTTGCTGTCTACCAATGAAGGCAGGCAGATCTTTTGAAGTGAAGAACATCTTATACCAGGAACTCAAGCGAACCCCATCCTGGGAATACTTCCCGACCACCCGTAATCTGACCTCTAGCCATGCTAATATCAGAGATCTCCGTATCTCTGAATGCTCAAGAGGATAATTCGGAACGAGTAACGTTACTATGGAGAGGATCAAAAAGTGTTTCCGAGAATATACTTCTTAGAAGCATGACCTCACAAATATTCATTCCTTTCATTAAGAAATCAGACAAAGGGTTCTTTATGTCAGCTTTATAGGGATTGTAGGCGTTGTTGTTTCCTCAACGTATGTTAGAGACCAGAACAGGACAATACCTATTGTGCTGTCCGAAGCTCCTGGCATTTCCTTGATATTCGTCTTTATTGCGACTTATTTTCTTTGTGTCCTTGTTGTTTTTTCTTGGAGAGGTTTGATACCAGGACAGTTCAAAACTTGTATAAAATGAACAATACCTATCCCTATCTCATGGCAGGTGTGCATCAGTATACTATTTAACGCTCAATCTTTTCTTCTATCGACGCTTCACCTGTCACCACTCTAAATCGTACCCTCAAGGTCCTGGCGATCTTTCCAACAACAGCACAACTCAACTCCATTCAATAAAGCTGCCAGAATGTCTTGCAAGGAGGTCACCACTTTCTATCGACTTTGTGGGCACACCATACGAGGAATCAAGCACCATGGGGCTTGTCTATCCCGTCCTACGGTAGGAGAAGACCCCGAATGTTGGAACCCTATGCCCCTTAAGCCCGAGCACTACTACCTAGTAGGATATTGCATCTACTGTTACAGGCTGGAGATTCATGGTCTGCTGCCCGAAACGCTCACACTTCACGACACCGGATCAATGCCCGTGTGCCAAAATCCCGGGGACCACACGGATCGAGAAATTTCGATGCTGGCCCAGATTGCGCGGAGAGAGGTCGAGAACTACGAGAAGCCCACCTCGCGAAACCAAGCGAGGCAGAGGAACTTCCTCAAGACTCAGGACATGAATCGTCGTAAGCTGAGGTGGATGACCGATGCCAGGGCCTGGCTGAGGCTGCGAGATGATGACTTTAATGCGGATGAGCGGCCTTCGGTTCATATCTTGAAGCTCAACAACTGGAATTTGCACCCCGGAAGCCCGCCGCTTCTCGTTCCCGCCGTGAGGCCTTTAGAGCAGGAGGATGAGAACTGTACCATCTGCATGAGCCCGCTGTGGCATTCTCAGCAGGAATTGGACAGCGCCGACCCGACAGAGAGGCGGGAGATAGTCGAGAGAGGCGAGGCTATCGTGCTGCCTTGCTCTGACAACCACAGGTTCCATGTCCATTGCCTGCAACGGTATCTGGAAGAGGTCCCGGACGACCCTGCCGGTCGGCCGGATTATCAGGTTCGAAAGTGCCCACTCTGCCGGGCCTTGTACAGGATTCTGTACGAGCCGGGCTTTGGAGAGCCCGAGTGGAATTACGACTTTGGCGCAGAATCGTACTGGCAGGTCGGCGGCTTCATCGACTTCACGCCGGTCGTTCCGCCACGACTACAGAATTTCAGGCAATATGAAAGATACGATCGTTGGGGCACCATCAGCTATGAAGCACATCAGCGTTTTGCCAACAACAACAACAACAACAACAACAACAACAACAATAACAACAATAACTTGAACTGAGGAGCTGTGCAAGTGCACAATAGCCCAGATCCGGAATCAGGTATTGTTGTCGTGGCTGGCCACTGTCCCTCGTTATCACTCAATACTGTTACTTTCTGGTAAAGTTAGTCTCCTTCCCTTTTCTACTTCTGAATTTGTTCTTGTATTTAACCTAATCGCCGGATACCTTAAATATGGTAATTCAAGAGAAATTGGTCCGACTAGCAAGTTAGCCAATTTTTTGGAATTATATTTAAGGTAACCGTCGAGCTAGTCGGACCAATTTCTCTTGAATTATATCCAAGGTATCCGGCGATTATCCATAATTTTTCCGTGATACGACCGCTTTATACAGTCTTTCATCTTGTGAACACGAGGTCCTTCCTGGCTGCCCGTGACATATTCAGAAGATCAGTCCCAAGATTCGCAAGTCCCGTGTTCACATACCTCGCTTAGCCCCTTTGCGAACGTCAAATGGCAGCGTTATTATTCTCATCCAATGGTCCGTGTGCCCTAGCGCCCTTCTTCGTTGAGCCCCCCACATAACCCCTCCCTTATCGGTTGATAAGATAAGAATATTCAAAGGATTTTTTTTTTCCATCTATTTTCCCATCAAACTTTCTTTCCACTCCGTATATACGCAAACATTCTTATTCAGCTGTCGCCCAGGGACCTGCCCCGCCAAACCCTCATCTTCGTCTTAAGTTGAGTCGCAGCAAATACTCGCTATCATGTCCCAAAATCCAAATCCTCCCAGCGTGGCTCTGGAGTCGGAGTCGACAGCCCCTCCATCGGTTCCGCCCTGCAAAGTCATCCTTGCCAATACAATTGCGAAGAGCTTGCTTGGGGAGGTGGCAAAAGGGCTGGCAGAGCTGGACTTCAAGCCTAAGCTGGTTGGATTTCTGGCGAATGGAGACCCTGCTGCTCAGGTGTATGCTGATTACTCGGCCAAGACTTGCAAAGAGAAGTAAGTACTGCAGGAATTCATATTGTTGTGCCAGGGGCCGGAAAATCTGGGCTCTGAAACTCGAGGCGAGACGAGTGACGGGATTGTTGATGTTGCTCACTTGATTTTTAAAGGGCCCAAGGGAAGAGAACCTACTGACACTTTACAGTGGCTTCCTCTTTGAAAACCGCGAAATCTCCAAAGAAGACATTGAAGAAGCCATTCTCGCCGCCAACAAAGACCCCTCGATCCACGGCATCATAGTCTACTATCCCATCTTCCCCGCTCACTCCAAACAAGACTACTACATCCAGCAGCTGGTCTCGCCCACCAAAGACGTCGAAGGCCTATCCTTCCGATACAACTTCAACATGTACCAAAACATCCGCTTCCTCGATCCTCCTACCAACGCCCATAAATCGATCCTGCCTTGTACGCCTCTTGCTGTAGTCAAGGTTCTGGAGTACTTGCAGATCTACAACACGATTATGCCGTATGGAAACCGTCTGTTTGGAAAGAATATCACAGTCATCAATCGTTCTGAAGTTGTAGGCCGACCGCTGGCTGCACTGCTTGCGAATGATGGTGCTCACGTCTATTCCGTGGACTTGGATGGCGTACAAATCTTCACTCGGGGAACGGGCATCAAGAACCACAAGTACGAGGCACACCCCAAGCCGGACATGGATTTGAAGCAGTGTTTGGCGATCAGTGATGTTGTTGTCAGTGGTGTACCAGGGAAGAACTATAAGGTAGACCCGAAGATGATTAAGGACGGAGCTGTGTGCATCAACTTCTCCAGCGAGAAAAATTTCGATACTGCTGCTGTTAAGGAGCATGCTAGCATATTCGTGCCGGCGATTGGGAAGGTCACCATTGCTGTTCTTTTAAGAAACCTGCTGGTAAGAGTTTCTACTTCTGGATAATTTGGGATTGAGCTAATCTGTGAATCAGAGGCTATCTCGAGACAATGCAGTAGTCAAGCCAGTGCAATAGAGGGGGTGGAAACTAGTGAGCAGATATGATATCAATTTGGTATAGGAGTTTAGGTTCATGGGAATTGGGGTACATACATTGAAGTCGCTAATATGGCTCGGAGTGGAAGGAAATACCGAAGTGCAATAAAAAGGCGTTCTTTTCAAGCTATTTCCTTATTGTCATTCCTCGGACGAAGCAAGCATCATGAATGAAGTCAACAATGTGAATCTACGGCAAAACTTCAAATTCCAAGTTCAAGTAACTGACAGTTGGCAGAACTCCTTACCGAGGATGAAAAACACCAAAGATGGGATCTCTGTTAAATAAAGTTCCTCGTCTTTGTCACCCTCGACGACCACACACTTCTACGCTTCTACGCCCTCTGCTTTCTACACCTCGTATTGTGGCCCTCGCGCCCAACAGAGTCCGAAGCCCTACGTTTGGTACCGGTAGATGTAACCGCAGCTACTGTCTCCGACTCTGCGTTACTGTCCGAGGAAACCTTCGCGGCCTCCGGCACACTTTCTGCGGCTTTAAGAGCGAGCTGCTCATCCCGAAACGCGTCCAAGGCTATTCTGTCAGCCGCAGCCCTCGCATTTACATCTCTCATCCGTTCCAACATCTTTTCATTGGCTTCAATCGCGTCTTTTCTCTCCCGGGCTTTCCTTTCCTGTTCAGCTTCAGCTGGTGGAGGTGTCAGGATTTTTTCTCAAATTAAAGTCAAGGTAACCGACGATTAGGGCCTGTCTTATAAGTGGCAAGTGGCTTGCTGATGATGTATTATAGACAAATGCCAAAGGTAGTCAGGGGATAAAGGAGTGTCGATATTTCTGAAAAGATTTGCGGTAATACCACCGCTCTCTTGTTATGACCATCTATATATGATTATCGTAATTCGATGGTATCGAATGCTCTTGGGCCGAGGTTTTCCTTCTAACCGTTGGTTGCCTTGAGTATTATTGAAAAAGATACACTACCAAGCCGGGACAATCAACAACTCGGACAATCAGCAGCCCGGGACACTCACTTTCATACTTGTAAAATCGATAGGAAATCAACGACCTATCGTATCGTAAATCTTTTTGAACCAGAAAAAGCACCGTGGCCATTTTAATAATAGCCAATTAAGATAATTCTAATAGTATGTAGTTGCTTTGTCATGGTACTACTACGTAGATTAAAGCAGTGAAAATCGTACTTTTTGATGTTACAGGTCCGTGCGCTTTCCAGGCTTGCTTGGCATGTCTAAATTTTGAGCCCCCAGCAAATTCATGCGATCAAGCCCGAATATGATCTTTGACTTGGGACGAACAATCACATGTGCATATTCGCAGCATGCATTTGTCTTCAGAACTTATCTGAACATAAAAATGTGTTTTTGTTACGTTTGTATTAGTAGTTGTGGTTTAATAAAGGTTTTGGTGAAAGTATTTCCGTTGCTCCGTAATTTGTCCCGTTTGGGTGGTAACCGACGATTACCGTGGGGCGGCAAGGCTGAGGATTCGGCGTGGAAATATCATCTGAGGGAATCGATCTCCATCTTCAAGTTGTCTTCTACAGCATCACAACACAACGTCAACTATTGTTCAATTTTGATCTCGCTGGCAGTAAGTTCAGTGGATACTTCAATCAAAAGTGCGACCCGGCTGAAAGCTACTTTCGTCCTCAATCCTCAGGCTAAACAGCCCTGCCCCTCCTTCGCGACTTGCGATTTTCCCTTAGTAATAGTAAGTCAATGGCTTATTTCTCTCTCTGATTGAGCTATCAATGTATCTTCCTACAATATTACTATCTGCGAGTACTACAGCCATCTTTATTGCAGCATCCGAGCTGATGAATTCATTAGCCACTTGGTCCCAAAGCTGCATCAACTTTCACTACACGACCTTGAATATTGCTCCCAATCCTCCCCACGAAGCTGCCGATTACAATGATCTAGATTTTATTGCTCTTCATCATACATATAATGGCTCCATTGCCATACTCCGTTGGTGATTGGGTGAATATTTCTGATAGCGACGGCAAACGAAGCCTGGTAGAACAGAAAATCGTTACCGAGTTCGCTGGAGGTAAGGCCTGCTATCAGAGCTGGCAGATCCCCGCTGACATTCGTCAGCTATTGATACTGGTGTATACTCCTTCTTGAATTTGTTCCGAGATTTAGGACCCTATCTCACATCTGGTGTGGACGGAGTCGTTCTGGCTCGAGGTACGCCACCGTTAGCATTGATCATTGGAAAAGTCTAATCTTTGATAGCTTTGAGTCTTCTTCCTCCGGTTCTTAGCAGCCTTGAAACCGAGCCATCTCGTCAGATTGGTAAATGTCCCTTGCCCCGCGGCATTTGGTATCTCAACTCACACCTGCAGTAAACACCTTGGTCAAATACTTCTGTGACCGTCTCGCAAGCCGAGATCAGGACTCCAGTTTTCGCTATGGGATTTATGAAGTTGCCGCCTCTCTAAGAGTGATTGTAAATTGGCAACACTTCATACCTAGCGATACTGCTGTGGTAGCAACCGCAATCTACGGGCTCGCTGATTTCTCTATTATGCGGGATCTAGCCCCCGCTACTCGGGTCGAGCTCCTAAGGGTCTTGGATATCATCTTTCGCCAGCGAGGTCTAGATCTCATCAAGATGACTGGCGTCGCCTCTCAAATCAACGGACTCGTTGAGCTCGCTTCCCATGAAAAGAATCCTTCATGCTTGACTCTTCTTTTCTCCTTGTACATCCATGTTAGCAAGGAATGGGATCTTGAAGCACCACAAATTGAAAGTTTGTGGAATTCATTCTCGAGATACTATCCGATCACCGTGGGCGGATCTGCTAAAGACCCAAAGCATCCTTCGAAAGAGACGCTGCGGGATCTGCTCCTAGGATGCATCGTGTCGAATGATTCATACGCTAAAGACGCAATTCCAATGTGTCTTGAGAAGCTCGATACAACTGCGGACTTGTCCGCTGATACTAAGGTACTACCCCTCTTCCAATTACCAACCAGTATTACTGACTGGTACTGACTTCAACCAGACCGAGGTCCTGACGACCCTTGCTGCTTGTGTTGAAAATTATTCCGTTCCCGCCGTGGCTCCCTTCGCGCCCAAGATCTGGGACTCTTTAAAATTCGAGATCTGGAACGGTGAGGTGGATGATTTCATCAAGTTGTCACTAAAAGTTTTACTTAGTGTAAGTATATCTTTGAGCCGTCGAGTCTACGACTGGGAGGATACGCAAAATCCTCTGGCCATTTACATCAACACTGTGATCAAAGAAACTAGTGGCCGGATCCTTGACATGAGCACTCAGTTCTTACGCAGTAGTGGATTGATTCTGTGCTCGGTCGCCTCTGGATCACCTCTTGCTTTCCATTTGGTCGCCAAATCTATCATCCCGAGAATCAATGTCGTCTGGCAGAATCTCAAACTCGGATCCGAAAGAAACCTCCTTCTGGGGGTTTTTAATAACATCCTGATAGCCCGTTTGGCACAGCCGGACATTGCACCAAGACCAACAACCACTCCGACCTCTATAATTGTCGATGAGAACCCTCATGCCATTGCCAATCTGAAGCAAGGCTTTTCTAAGTTTTCGGATACTCTTGTTGACGTCTACTTTGGTGCGGTCACTCTGGCAGACGATAAAGCCCACCTCACGACTGGACATGGAGCGTCGCCAGATCCTGTCTTCGGAGCTGCTGCCATCAAAGGATTGACGATGCTATTTCAGATTCCAAACTACCTGTCAGTCGCCGAGCAGGGAATGATAGTTCAAAAATTGACAGATTTCGCAACACATCCCAGTCAGAATGCCGACATCCAGGCTGCAGTTGTGGAATCGCTTAATCAGATATCTTCGATCGAGCCGAAGATATTCGGTGATGTCACCTTGTCAACTCTCGTAGACGCCCTTCCTACAAAACTCTCGGAGGATCCCGAAAAACAGGAGGAAGAAATGGAGGCAATTCTGCTTCGGCTTGAGAGCCTCGTCGGTATCTCGTGCACCAATGTTTGTGAGAATGAGTTCCGGGACGGACCTCCGGTTGGTGTCGCGGCCGGCTACTGGCACCGAAATTTCGATTCGACGATGAAGAAGATTCTCGTCAAATTGGAGGCAGTGGTTCAACACAAAGGACAGATGCCCTATGTTGTTGCATTACTGGCCACAATTCTTGACGGTCTGGAAAAGTTCGAGAAGACTTTGGAAAAGGCCCGCAGCCATGCTCCTCAGCCAGCATCGCCCATTCCAAGCAGTGGACCCTATACATACATCGTTATGGAGCTATTCCGTATGACTGTCGCACAGAAGTTTGATGGAAATGGCCAGGTCTATCTGGGTTTGAAGTCGGTCATCCTGGAACAGGGTTCGGAAGACAAAATTGTTGAGCTTGTGGGCAAGGTAGCCATGATTGCTCTGCGGTCCAAATTGACAACTGCCTCAAATAACTTTGTTATCAACTGGAACTCAACCTTCACAAGAGAGCCAAGCGTAATTTGGACCTTGTTCACTCACAGTGTGGATGCCTTGCTTGCCCAGTCCCACAAGAATCTGCGTGACGGACCGCCGGATAAGTGCTTGGCAAATGCTCTGTCTATGTTCCTGTTGGCGGGTAGTCCATCGAAGGTAATGTCTTGCCGTGGATGCTTAAATTTCTTGCTAACGGATACTAGAGCAATGCTGAATTGCGAATTTCAGCCGGTGATCTGGCTGCGACCATGATCTCAAACGCTACCAGTCTTAGAAGCAGAAGCTCTCCCTTCTCCCAGGTTGCTATGCTCTGGATGCTCCAGCTGCTTGTAAACAAGTTTGGAGCCAGCAAGGAGACCTTAGAGGATGGTGGCAGTCTTTTAAGTGTTATGGAGACCGTTCTCAGCGAAAGTTCGACGAGCGCCGTTCAAACCGTCAAGGCGTACCAAGTCCTGGCCTACTTCACAGCAGCATCTTTGGCTTCATTCGATCCTACAATGACTACACTCATTGGGCTAATGATTAGCGGTATCAAAGACTTTAAGCACGGTCGTAAGGTCGCTCAATCTTTTCGCATCCTGCTTGACTCTTCCCCAATCTTGAACGAGGACAACTACTGCACACTCCGCAAGCTACGCAAGCCCCGTCTGTTTACACTGGCCGCCGAGCCTCTCATTACTCTCTGGCAAAACACCTCAGACAAAGGTCTTAAGGACAACTACCTGATTGCCCTCGCTGGAATCCTCTTCTACATGCCGCCCACCTACCTCACAGAGGGATCCACCGCTTCGCTGCTCATGCCACTCATCCTGGAAGGCGTGACTGTCATGGACGACGACTGGACAAAGGTAGCCTATCTCAAGACCCTTGCTAGTATTACTCCTCTCTGCCCTTCTCTCATCCAGGAACATCTCGACTCGGTCATTACGCGTGTTTCTGATCGGCTGAGAAACACGTATGATGATCCATCCGACGGTAGTGTGCAGTGTCGGGTTCTGGCTTTGGAGGTCATGATGCTGCTGATTGCGCATGTGAAGCCGAGCTTGTTATTGCAGCGCGCGACCAAGATGCTGAGGGAGTTGGACTATGCGAAGGATGATGCCGCGTGGGAGGTGAGACAGAAGGCTACGCTGTGCCGCATCAAATGGTTCTACTTGGCGGATAGTGCGTAGTGAAGGTAGAGAGGCATATGCTTTTCGTTTTGGCGATGGATTTGTTGCATCTGTGGTGAGAGGGTGCATAGCGATGGCGTTAGGTTGCGGATAGATGTTAGATGGATCGATGCGCACGTCTATGGTTCACGACAAGTCATAATTATATTGCGAGGTTCATTCTTAGCGCTTCTCATGCTTGTAATGTCCGTTGGGGGTAGATGGTATGTGTATTGATTGACTCGCAACGTATATTTCTGCAGTTTACTCCGAAGATCGATGGAAATGAAATGACATGAGCGATAGTAGGCCTCTGCCCATCCTGAGGTAAATAGATGTACGGATGTTCCTAACCACGCGACGGGTTTTTTTTTTTTTTTGGTTTCTCGCTTTACTGTCAAGAAGAGATGAAAGAAATATCGAGCAGTGTTGAGACTCTCCATATGGGGGGGCATTGGGAGAGGTGCACATGTCCTAGATGATAGATAGACTTGATACGGAGGTAACGAAAGGGACATTCTCTCCTTTGCGTATCCTCTCATTAGCGAGGAGTGGAACAGGTACCTAGGCCATAAGGAGAATCGATAAATTATTTCATTTTAGGTGAGACGCGTGTGCCCTATATCTACCCAACTTGGTTCGATAAACCATTTCCGGTTATATATATATTAGGTATATATATATATAAGAAGGTCGTGTATGCGTAGTGATGGTGTTGAGTATCGAGTGTTGAGGAGAGAGAGTCTGGAGGTTTTGGGCTGGTGTTTTCTTGTATTAAAGGCCTTTTTCTTTTCCCTCCAAGTTCACTTCGTAACTGTATACATAGGCAACTTGGGGAAGAGGAGTCTCTCGCTCTCGCTTATGGATGTATGGTTTTAGGAACGAAAAGCTTGCCCTTATGCAAAGTTGTCGGGTTTGGATATGGTTTCTAGGGTCTGGAGACTTTGCCAATTCTTGAATATAGCTGCAAGAGCTATGGTGTGAGAACTACCCAGATCTTGTTTACTTTACTCCGTTCGCACCTTGAAGTGGCGTTCGAGACACGTGTGAATTGATGAGAAGTCAAGAAATAGAGCACTTGGGTGTCCACTAGATAGCCCATCCTATGCAACGCATCCAAGACTAATATCCCATATCAAATTGCCAAAAACGCCTAGCCATACAAGCTTTTTGATAGCCCTCGCTTCCACGCCTCAAAATACACAAGTATCGTCAACACCCTGCCGACCTTCTACGTAGCCTTCTTGCTCCTCTTCTTCCCCTTTGTCGGCGTAGCCTCTTCGACACTAACCCCCGAGCTCTCCGCCAACAGACTCGCCCACTTATCATCCATACTCTTCTCCTGGCCCTCGCCCTCCACGCTGGCCACCTTTTTCTCGGGCAGCACCACCTTCCCAGGGTCCGCCATGCCCACAACCTCTATCCCAGTTGCAAGCATCTGCTGGAACGGCAGCGCCACAAAGCTCCCCTGCTTGTCGAACCACTTCGTAAACGGCTTCTTGATAGCCTTGGTCTCACCCTTCCCCTTGCCCGCCTTCCACGTCGTCACCGTCAGGTTGTAGACGGGGACGTGCTTCTCCGTCTTGGAGGCGATTTGGACCTTGTCGCCGGCGGCGTTCGTGCCGACGTAGATAGTGCCTTTCTCGACGCCCCAGATCCAGAGGGTCAGGATGCCATTGATAAGGGTGTAGAGGGCGACGGCCACGGCGGTGTACTGCTTTGTGCTGTCGAAGCCGAGCTTGTAGTCCCAGTAAAAGGTTGCGGCGCAGATGGCGAAGGCCGAGTAGCCTAGAGCCAGGCGGACATCGGTAAGGGTGTGGGATTGCTTGAATTTAAGGGAATTGAGGTAGGCAGGGACGGCGTCGTCGGAAGTGTTTTTGAGATCTGGTTGATGTTAATTTGGAGTGTCAACCGGTGCTTTGAACAGCTAGATCTTTGGGAGTTATTCTCCTTGAATTAGGAAATGACTTTAGCTTACCAGGCAGCGAATACACAGAGATCTTTTCTTGGTGGGCCATTTTTTCGGTTGTGGAAGGGGGAATTCTGCAAGTGTGGAATTCTAGACATACGAGGGCGAGGGCGAGTAGGTACGGAGACGCGATTGGGAACCGTGTCTTGTACGGTAGCTATGTAGGTCGTTTACCCCGAACTCGGTTTGGTAAGTCAGCCGAGTTTAGTGGGTCGTTTGTAACGACAAGCACTCCCAGCAGTCCCTCCAAGCTTCAGAATCAACATTGCAACTTGCAACCAGACAAATACCACCGCGAACATGGCCCAAGTTCCTGTCCAGACGATCCATAGGGATCCGCAGCTCTTGTATTGATTATCTGAGGCAGCAGGTGAATTTTATGCTGACGATGGCACAGCTATTGGATATTGATCCCCATCACGGTGGTCATGGTACGTCCTCTCGACCTTTCTTTGCTACCGCAGGGTTATTAACGATCCTTAGATCTTGACAGGAGTCCTCCGCCACTATGCAACAGTGCTCATGCAAACTGCGCCCAAGAAACAAGAGCTCGCCGCCATCCGCGAGCAGCGCTCCCTCCTCCGCGGAGTCAACCTCCGCTCCAACGCAAACGCCATCTCTTCCACCGCTTTTCAGACGCGCAGAGACTACCTCGTTACCGCGTACGAGAGTGGCACATTTTTGAAGGAGCCAGATAGGAAAGGACAAGCGGCCCCCAATCCGATAACGGATCCGGCTGCGATGGAGGGAATGATGGGGATGATGAAAGGGAATATGGCGATGATTGTACCGCAGACGCTCATCATGGGCTGGATCAACGCCTTTTTCAGCGGTTTTGTTATTAGTAGGTGTTGACATGTAGGTGCTAGGATAGTGCTGATTCACGACAGTTCGTTTACCGTTCCCCTTGACGATTAAGTTTAAGAGTATGCTGCAGGCGGGTGTAGCGACCAGAGATATGGACCCGCAGTGGATGTCTTCCATCTCGTGGTATGTGCTGTGTATCTTCGGACTGCAGTCAGTGTTCACTTATCTGCTCGGGAGTGACAATGGTAATGCTATCATTCTGCTAGATTGAGACGATTGCTGATCGAATGTAGCTGCCAATCAAGCGACACAACAGATGGGGCAAATGGGCCCAGGGGTCGGAGCACAGATGTTTGGGCCTGGTGTTGATCCGGACAAGCAATTTCAGGCTGAGGCGGAGAATTTGGCAGTGCTAACGCATGAATACACATTGGCGGGCGTTGAGGACAGGCTTTTGAAGTCTGTAAAGGTGTAAACGGCAAGTTTAGAAATTATTGTTTTCGGACTTGATGTCATGCCCAGCAATTTTTGGCTCGTACCAGAATTAGTACCGCTTTGTTTACCCAGCTGTGGATGGCTAAAGGAAATCAAAGGAGCGTAAGATCTCTACCGAGAGGACAGCAAATCCGTGTGATCTCTTTCTAGTTTCCGAACCGAATGCGAGACTGCCTTTTGATGGAAGGAGCTGTGAGAACCAAGGTAATGACTTGCTAACTGACAGATCTGGTGGGACACAGAACTCATGCCTCCTACTGCCGCCCACGCCAGTCTCCTGTGTACTTTGACCCCAGAGCCATCAACAATAGATAAGCCAGTCTCGTACCAAGCGTGTGACCGATATGCCCCTTGAAGACGGAGTCATTGTCGTGCGCGCTGGTAACGACATCCCCTCAGCCGAGGACCTGAGCGAGGGTTGGGAAGCTGCCAATGTTACTTCAAACATGAATATGAATAGGTAGGTATCCATGGTCCCTTACGTCCGCTGGTCGATCAATTACTCACAGCTGTAGCGTACCAGTTGTGTCTTCCGCCACGTTGGCTACTGCCTCGAAGCGAAGGTCCCCAGAGGCCAACGAGGATGCCCGCAGTCATAAGAAGACTCGGCTCTTCAAGTATGGTCCTTTAGCCTTGCTTCTGTAAAAGCCACTAATGGAGACCAGCTCCTTGGGAGACATTGTTAGACTTCGTGTCGGGCCCGACGAAGCCCTTTTCAACGTTCACCTGGATGTTCTACGAGAGGCCAGCCCCGTGCTATCAGATCGCGCTCTCCCGACCGGCGGACAGCGTTCTACCCAACCGGTCGATATCGTCATGAGTGATGAATGTGCTGATAGCATACAATCAATGTGTTACTGGCTCTATAATGACCAAATCTGCATCTCGCAAAAGCTTGCTCGGGCTCGACATTACGATCCGCGCAAGACATCAACCGGCTTGTTCGTCGAGCTATATATCATCGGTCAGAACTTCAAGATGTCTGGACTACAGAACGACGCTATCGATGCCATCCTCTCTTGCTGCCGCGCCATGGATCTCGTCCTGATGTCTACGTACATCTATCAAAAGACCCAACCCAGATGCAAACTCCGCAAGCTACTCGTCAAGCTTGTCAGTTACCGGTATTCCGCAGATGAGTTGCAGGATGATATGCACAAGATCTGCAACGACTTTCTGTTGGATCTGGCGATAGCTGCGTTTCGGGATCGGGACAAGGGGGTCACGAGGTATCAGGGCCAGGTACCGCCGCAGGAGAACTTCTGTGCGGATTTTCACACGCACGAGGTTGGCGTCGGTAGATGCAGAAAGATGAAGGGCCATGTGACTGTCACTGAGGAGCGACCATAAGCTGATCAATCTTTTGTTGTAGATTCATGAAAGCGTGGGAATGAGGATGATGGTTTGTTGGATTTTGGGAGTGATTTGGCGTTGAAATATATGCACAGGAAGGAGGTCCATGGAAATATCGGATTTATGGCCAGATGGAAGGACCGAAGTTCGCAGTCTTAAGTATGTGTATATTCGCAGAGCATTAATACTACATCGCAAACCACTATTGATTTAACCGAGATCTCGTGATCATATTCGAATATCCGCATGCCGTCTGGTAGTCTGGTAGTGTCGACTTCCTAATCAGTCAATTCCCGTTTGAGATATTCCTTGAAATATTCTGACAAAGCGAGGTGTTTATTTAGAGCGACCATATGTGGAAGCACCGCATGGCGTTGGGATACATGATTGCGAGAGGTACTATCTTGATTGTGATCGGGCGTGGTGCAGAGATGGTGATTGACAGAGCCTGGAGGAAGATTCGGTAAATACCATAGTGAAGTACTCTGTAGTGGGCTCCAAGTTCCGATTGATTGACGTATGAGGTCGCCTCGATGCCCAAGTCACGAATCGATAGTCAAGGCGCTACCAAGTCACATTATTTAGGACGGAGGGTCAACGGAATAGCTTAACAATATTCCCAGTCAGAAATCCTTTCGATATCCTCACAATTTTGGTGGCTTAGCACGAACATATGGGTGGGTACTTTAGACATTTTGCACCTCTCTATAGCAAACAATTCGAGAGAGACACTGGCATCCCGTCTCCAAACTCCAAACACCATCAATGCAAGGTCTGAGTCTCTCCATATCTAGCCCCTCTTTGACTTCTTGGTCGGCTCCTCCTCAATAACATCATCCTCCATCTCCTCATCCTCTGAATCGGCCACGTCCCGACTCCTCTTCAAGCCCTTCATCTTCCTCGTCTGCAACTCCTTCAAATTCTGCTTGCCCAGATGTATCCTACCCATCTTATCACCCACAATATCCGTGGAGATATTCTTCTTCGGCCTCTCCTGGCTCGTGCGCGCCCTCCTCAACGCCTCTTTCATCACACTCTCATCCGCCTCCTGCACACGCCCAACGCTGAAGTCCATTCTCGGGCCCATCTCCTCGACCTCCACCCTCGGCAGCTTCTGGCCGCTCCTCTTCGTCTTGATCAAGTAGATGCGCAAGTGCACTCTCGGCTTCTGATCTTCCCCATCGACGGTGTCCCGCGCTGAGATGGACACCATGTACTGCAAGCCCTCGACATCAATCTTATCCGCCGGCTCGCCCTTGAAGAAATCCGTGAAGAAGCTCTTGACGAGCGTGTACTCATTGCTGACGGGCCCCTCGAACGGGGTGCCGGAGAACAGCAGCATGGGCTTCAAGCCAACGGCGCACTTCTTGTTCTTGAAGCTTGCCAGGCTCCGCCAGCTCTGCGCGTCCAGGCCCAGCTCGAGCATGTCCAGCACCTTGTGGTCGAACATGCGCACGAACGTGATGGCATGTGGCCGCTTCTTGCTGCTGCTGCCGAAGACCAGGATCGAGGCGTCGTTCTTCTCGGCGAAAAACTCGAGCGAGGCGGCCGAGTCGAAAGGGTGGATGGCGTTCTTCTTGGTGAATTTCTTGGAGTGCGGGATGCGCAGCTGGTGCAAGTCCGTGAGGGCATCCTGCACGATCTGTGAGCAGCTCGTGCCGCGCAGTAACAGGGCCTTCTTGGGGTTCTCAATGGCCTTGGGGGCTTTCTTGTCGAGGGCGCGTTTGGAGCGCGCATTGCGGGGTTTTCTATCGTTTTGGTCAGTTGCTGAGTCAGTGGGGTCGTTTGGAATATGTATTGTGTTGAGGAAATATGTACATTTGGCGCAACATCTTGACTTTGGTTGGTGGTAGAGTTGGTGGATTTTTGTGCGATGAGGTTGTCGCCGATGGGAATTTGATCAGATCAGAAATATTCTGAACTTTAATTGTGGGGCCCCTGCTACGGTAATCGATAAGGAATCGCAAAAGCGGTCTAGGCTTGATCTGCACAGATACAGCACTGGCGTCTTCGACGTCTTCTTCACTTCACGTGTCTGTTCGCGGGGAAGTTGAAGGCTGAAGCGGGATGGTCGTCGTTTGGAAAGGCAACTGTCCCAATGCCCAATGCTCCCGTCCTTCCACCTTCACGACTTGAAGAACACCACATCTACTCACGGCGATACGTTGCGCCTCCGGCGAAGAGGAAGGAAGAATTAGGCAAGTAAATGAATGAGGCAGTCAACTTGCTTTAGCATCTTCTCTCCATTTCCCTCTGCTGTGGAAGCAGGATAGTAGCAGAGTTGCCGAGGCTCGAGCCCGGACCGAACGCGAGCATGTCGAACGTTGCTGCCGTCAAGGTAAGTGACTCCAACCTCATCTTCACCTCACTGCATTTCAATGCACCAAAGAGAATGAATGTGTGCTGATGGCTGCTGGATAGAGGGCGCTGGAGAGCGTGATCCTCAATCCCAAATATGCAGACTACCTCGCCGTCGTGAAGGCCGCGCGCAATGGCGCCGTCTACGGTGCCAAGGTGCGGTTTCCGCATGCCATGGTGTACGTCTCCCTACCTCCCTCCCACAGGGACCAAGGCCAAGTAGAATGGACGTTGGAGAGGTATTATCATATATATGCTGACGGGCAATTGCTTGTAGCATGATATTCCTGTTTCGATCCGGCACGGTGAGGGAGAAGATCGGCTTGATCTTGAGGGCGACGAAGACGCATGCGCAGAACCTTGCCAAGTACGCGACGGTCTACAAGATGACGATGCTGGCGCTGAAGCATATGGGGAGCGATCCGGGCAAAGAGGGGCCGTATGACACATTCTTCGCGGGCTTGCTTGGGGGGTACCTGGTCTTCGGGCGGAGGAGTAAGAGGGGACATATTAGTTCTGTTAGTAAACAGATTGTGATATTTGGTGAGTAAATCCTTCCTCCTCTTCACATTTGTTCTGGTAGAAACATCGATTTGGAAGTGTGGTTCGCTGATCGTGTGAACAAAGTATTCGCGAGAGTCTGCCTTTCGTTGGCACAACTCTCGATACGGCCCTCTTTGGGCATCATCAAATCCCCAGAACTCTCGAGACGAATAGGACACGATGCGTGGCCGGTCTTTGCGGCTATGAGTTGGGGCAGTGTGATGTGGCTGTTCAGGTGGTATCCTGACACGGTGCAGAGTGGATTGAGGAGTAGTATGGATTATATTTACGTGCAGAGCGATCATTGGGATAGCTTGCGGAACTTTTTGATTTACAATAAGTAACGGGTATAGACCGAGTAATATGGTGAGCGGACTTGGTATAGGAAGGAAGACACGATGGCCTTGTTATGACTAGGACTAGGAGTGGATGGGAAACAAGGGTGGCCATGTGTCGAGGGCATTTGCATCAGGAGCTGGACGGCAGCATTTGTTAGAATAGACGATCTCATGAAAATAAGATGCTTTCAAATGATCCCCCTTTCTTTACTTCGGCTCTTGCGGCTTGCCTGGTTCGATTATCCTTCGCATTATAAACTTCTCATGTTTTCAGCAACCACTTGGTCCTATCATATATCATACAATTTCTACACAAATATAATCTGTACACAGCAGTCTTATGACACTTGAGCCTTGAAGTCAGAAGATTGATTCTCCTTTTTTCATGATTGTTTATAACTACCTAAGCCTATAAGTGCTAGACAGCCGCCGGAATCTCTCAGAGTTCATCACCATAAAGAAAGTCTGTTTGGTACTTTTTATATTCTAAACGTTGAAAGATTCCTTGAATCGTACCCCGTTCGTTGTCAGGTCTAGGCATTGGAGCATACATACTCAGGCTCAGCTTGCTGACATCTAGTCAATATTTTCTCGGCTATTTTCATCGAGGCATTCATGATTCTTGCGAGCACGCTGATTTCTAGTTGTTGTGCTGAGCGCTGTAAATACTTTCTCCGACATCTTTTTGTCATGTAGTTCTGCTGGTTTTGGAAGCTGCCAGTTCAGCTCTGCAATGTGGTGTAGAATTTTGCAGTGCTTCGTGCTTTGATCCTATAAGTTAAGGGGGAGATGAAGTATGAGTTTTCTGATATTTCCGTGTCGAAATTTAGGTCACGTTGCAATCATCGACTAGGTCACGGGTAACGCTAACTCAACAAGCTAGTCAGTATACAATGTTTATCTATTAACGACCAGACCTAGCAGATACCATAATTTCCCAAATCCCTTTAACCATATGCCGATTTCTCACAGATTCCTCCTCGGCTATGAATTCTTTTCCAGTCAACACCCGATCCTCGCCTCCATCTCCTCTCCTCCGCCCACCTCAACTCTCACAACTAATATCTTCCCCTCTGCCTTCCCGTCCGACCGTCTCCCCGCCCAGCCCTCCCTGAAAGCATCAACAACAGCATCCCACCAGGCCCCCATCCTCTTTTCCCCACATCCCCCGACCTGAATCTGCGTCTGAGCCTGAGCCTGAACCACAAACACGACTTCCTCCAGCCTTGGAAGACTCTCCAGCAAGCAATACACCCAGTCCCCGCTTCCGCCTCCACAGTGCCCCTTACCAGCATCAGCATCAGCATCACCACCACCGCCGCTGCCGCCGCTGCCGCCGCCGCCACAGCCGCCACAGCCGCCACAACCGCCATACAAGATCCTGGCTCTCCTCACGTTCTCGGCGCGCGGGCCTAGTGCTGCCGCGAAATCCTTGAGCAGGCGCGGTGAGGAAAAGAGGAAAGTGGCATGGTGGTAGTAAAGCGACGGGGGGAGGGTGCGGGCGAGGAGCTGGGGCGAGGAGAGCGCGAGGGGGGTATGCGCGTGTAGGGGCTGGTCTAGGTTCGCGGATGTAAGGGCTAGGGCTGGGAGGTTGGCGTAGCTGAGTGGGCGGTGGCCGTTGTGTCAGTTTATCTTGCGTTGTGGGATGGAATGTATCTGGTGTGGAGATGACCAGGCGCGAGTTCTTTTTTTTAACTTACTAGTGTGCTCCGATTTGGTGGAGGAGTTCGAGGGGGAGGCTGAGGAGGGGGAAGGTGGACATGAGTGTGGCGTCCTCTGGCCTGTTGGCTGCTTTAGATGGGGATAATTCCTCGGGTCCGTATTTGAGAATGAGGTTGTTCAAATTTTGCAGAGGTGATGTTTCGACGAAGGTGTGGGTAGCCATGTTGACCTGACGATTCTGTAATTTGGTAATTGTTAAGAGGGGACCTAGATCTAGTTCATATTTTTCAATTATTGCAGGCTCTTATTTTGTAGGACACAGTATATATACCTACACTCGTCGAGAGCAGGATTGGAATGAGTGAGGGCATTGGAAGTGTATTTGAGCAAGTTTGAGGTACTTGCCAAGAATGTGAGCTATCAAAATCAAACTGATAGGTCCTGGCACGTATATTTTGAGACCTTACGAAAAAAGACATCAGAGAAGAGAAGGGAAGTCATGGGTGGTGTGTCGCAAGCGATCGACGAGGAAGGGGACCTTGAGGGGTAGATAGCCTGTGGTGATGATTGTTTTTATTCGCTTCCACTCGATCGGTCTTGGCAGAGCCCTACTTCACACCTCAATACGCGGAGTTGTACTGTAAGCGCCTCTCGCACGCATTGTGAGCGATAATGGAACGAAAACGGTTTAAAATGGAGATGAATGACGAGGAAGATGTCAAAATGAAATGGATTGCAACTTTTAAATGTGTCGTTCTCCACTCCCGCCGGCGCATCTCCGGTTCTCTCCAGTATCCATCTCGCTTACGGTCCTGGAAGCGTACGCTGGCTTGTTAAGTAGAGGGGCAGAGCAACGAATCAGAAGCTGGTGGATGGTGATACGGCTCCGAAGAAAGAGACTCAATCTGTCTCTGCTGCCAGAATCCACGAGGAGAAATTATAGGTAGGTACCGGTGTGACCTAGTCGGTGTTATTTGTATACGTGGGTGAGCAGTCATCCCGAGTTCGCTCTTTTTGCGTTCCATGTCAAGTTTACTGGGGCCTGGAATGTGAATTTTTCAGTCTTGTGTCTCCTTCGATTTCCCTTTCAAGGCGTCATATTTCCTGCTTTCCTGCCGAGGGTAAACTATCAGCAAGTCGGATAGCTTCTACACTGTGTCAGATCGTGTGGCTCCGGTCCCCAGTGAAGATGGATCGTTTGGCTATATTTTCTCCTTGGCAGCTTACATTACCTGCTACGTCCTCTTCGGAATTAGTTCGCTGCTTTCCTCATTTGCCTCTATCCGGTATGATGTTTGGTGGCAGATAATCTTCGCCGTGGAAGGAGTTACAGAAGCCACAGGCTGAGCTGGGTGAACATGATTTTCATGTTGCCCCGACAAGAACAACAAAAGTTGTAGTGCTGCTGAGAAGATCTGTGATAATCGGATCGCTGAAACGAGGAGGGCCCCTCATCTGTGCGTGGAGTCGCTGAGGTTTCGGTCCTTCGCGTATATAAATATCGCGTACGAAATGCTTTGCCATATTTGTATATTGAAGATCTGGCAAGGCATACAGAACTGCACCTACGGCGGACCGAGCGAAGGCTCGAAGTTTTTTCGGATTGATGCGCACTCCGGAAGGCAGACTGTCCCCGTCCCCGAAATCCAGGATGGCTATACGATTCCAAGAATCTGGGACCAGCCATACCCTTCGAGAGATCGGAAGCACCTGCCGGGGATCTACTGTCGTCACCAGCACCTCAAACGGTCACAAGTCCTATCTCTGCTGCCAAAAAAAAACCCCAATTCCGCACCAGCCGACGCTGTGGTTAAGCTTCTAGTTGAAATATTCAGTGGTGGAATACTTGTGTCCCAGTATACTCATCATATCAAACCCGCTCCTTAGACTTGGAGTTGCAATGATGCAGAGCTTTCAGACCTAATGGAAGCGCAGGTGAAGGCGATGGAAGTCATAAGAGGGGAGGTCTGCAATCGAGGAGTCGTTTTCCGGTCAGGGGAAGCACTTAACCCGGATAGGTAACGAAATGGGAGATATGTATGGCTGGTGTTTTGGTGGCCGGATCTCGCTTATCCTTTCGCTTGGCTTTGTGTACTTCAGCGACCTCTGGAACATTGTAGTTCACGATTCTGCCGCCAGTCACAAGAAGGGATTCTTCCTGATGCTTACCCAGTTCGATAAGTCATAATAATACAGGTAAATATCCAGACAAATGTGTCGAGATAGCGCTTGCCGAGAATGGACGTCTTTTAGAGGAAATATTGGGAGCAAGCCAAGGACAATCTTCTAGATGATTATCCTTGGAAATAACCAGCAGGTTAGAATAGCAGTATAGAGTAGAAGGAGAAGAAAGTATTATTACTGTATGTATTTTCCACGTTCCAAACCATAAGGCACGCGGTTTCAGGCGCTACAACGTATTGTTAACAAGGGTGTTTTGAGAATTGAGTTGGAACACCATCTAGTGACTGCTTAGAAAATTCAATATCTAGGAGCCAAGTTCAACGTTGCTCAATTTTCAATGTCAATAACTCTCTTTCCAGACTTCATTTAAAGGAGAATTGAAGGAGAAGGGATGGATGGAACCTTCGAGACGGACACCGATGGGATGGCCTGTGCGGGGCGGCTCAATCGCGGTTGCCCCTCCAAAGGGCTCTCTCTACGCGTTGTTTGCTTTTTTTTAGACGCGATCAGTCACCTCATTCTTCTTCCCTACAACCAATCTTCCCACCTTTCCAAACTCAATTCCAAACACAACCACAACCACAACCTCCAAACCAAACCAAACCTTCCAACTCGAAGATAAATCAAGATGTCTGCCCAGGCTGAATCTGCGAACACTCCCGCCGACAAGGGCAAGGCAGCTGAGGCTGAGGTGCAAGACAACAGCATGGACGTCGACAGCTCCAGCGATGAGGAGGCTGACGAGGTAGTTGATGATGTAAGCTTCTCCTCTACCCAACATCAAGACCACACCCGGCTAACACCTCAAGCAGCAAGATGCCCGTAAGACAATCTACCCCTCTCAAACTAGGTTTGCGCTCTGACAAGTCGACAGCCGAGGACCTAGAGGAGGAGAACATGGAGGAGATCAACCCCGGAAACATCATCAGCTCTGGTCGCCGCACCCGCGGAGTCAAGATTGATTTTGCCAAGGCTGCCGCGGAGATGGGACCTGACGACGAGGAGGAGGAGGCAGATGATGACTTCGTGGAACCTCCCGAGGAGTCCGATGCCGAGATGAAGGACCACAAGTAGACGTCTCGTCTCGATGTGCGAACTTGGGATGCTGGCAGTGCTCTGATGAACTCTTGCGCCTGTTAACGCGATGCTCTTGCTTTCTGGATTCAGACGCGGCCCGTTCCCCTTCGACGACGACTGGATACGGCTCTTCTCTTTTTCCGCTTATCTCTGCGTGAAGAACAATTTCCGACCGACACGAAATCTCTCTTCCCCGACTGAATTACGATGGCAAATGATATGATGAAGGCGGTGATTTTGGGGCGAGCGCGCCAAAGGAGTGCATATGGATCTGCTGAGTGGCGGGGCTTCTATGAGCACGCCTCCTTTGTATCATCCTCAATAGAGAATTGAGCCTATGGGCGCGCATAACTGAGCTTCTTTCCTTGTGAACTACGAGGTATGGAAAGTCAAGTTGACTATTGACAAGCCGCTATGCTAGTGTACTTACGGTCGTGTCTTATCTTACCATATTCGCAGGCATGAGATGCTATTTCTATTATCTTGATAGTCTAAGGGAGGCCTGTGACTTCCTAAGTACTTATAAGGAATCACTGCGTACTTGAACTAACAGCAGCACTCTAGTCACACAGCGCAGATCAGAGTAGAGCAGAACAAAGCAGAACCGAGCGCGCATTCATCACATCAAAGTCTTTGTTCCCTCCACGCAACTGTATTCAAACCCCTATTCCATTACAATCCCAAAAGCGATAAGGAAAGAAAACAGCCTTCTTGGCACGCGAACATTAAGAAGGCTAGAGAAAACCAACCCACGTTCAGCCCTTACGGCCGGCCAGCAGGCAGGCAAGAGTCCTCGAAGAATTTTCTCTAGGACAATCATTGTTAATGAACATGAAATTGTGAGAATATTGAAAAGTTGGCTCCACAAGCTGGCGATCGTGACTTGACTGGACCCGACTTTGGTTGTGCACTGGTTGGACCAGGAGTTTTCGGGGTCGGAGCCTCCAAGAACACATCTCATCTCGTATTTCCTCTCCTCATCCATCAAATTCAATCTCCCTGCCCACCCACCTACCTACCTACCTACCTATCCACCCACCTACATACCTACCCTTGGCCATTCTCTTTCGCCTGCGCGCCCGCCTTCCGTTCGATACCGAACCTCGAATAAGCACCAGAAACCGAAAGCCATTCTAAAACTTCCGCCGGAAAACCTCGTCGGACGATTCGCGCCCTGCCTTACTTACCTACCGGTACCTGTCCTACCTGCAGACCTACGGACATCGCGTCCGTCGCGTGGTGCTGAGTGCGTCGTCAGGAGTGAGTGAACAAACAAGAAGAGCAGCAGCAGCAGCAGAAAGCGCAAGGAGGGAGGACGAGGAGTAGGAGGAGGAGCACGAAGCAACGATGGCGTCGAGGTTAGTCTCCATCATCTACTGCCCTGTTTTCTTTATATTTTCTTTTTACTTCTGCTTTTGCGTGCCGGCTCGGGTCCTCACCTCTCTCCTCTCTCTCCCTTACGCTGCCGGCAGCGATCTTTCGGGTAGCATTCCGAGTCAGAGACAGAGAGAAGGGGGGGGTTGGTCTTGTGCCGGACTCTCTACATCGATTCGGAACGCGCGCGGGCGAGCACCGTCCCTTCTACAATTTTTTCTTTCTTCAGGGGCGCGCTGCTATTCTCGACGCTGTCTTCTTCTTTTCTCTGCTTTGATTTTCCGACTTGATGTGTTCTTATGCGCGGGGGAGGGATAGGTCAATTTTTTTTATTTTTTTTCTCTCTGGTGTCTGTTACGTTTGTCGATGTATCTAGATTTCTCCATGCGCCGCGGGTAGGCTCGAGAGGGAGAGAAGAGGATGGGAAGAGGATCGCAGGCAAGTGAGTATGAGGCTGACATACTGTTGGAACGCCACAGCAGGTTCGGGCAGTCGACGCTGCACCAGCGGGATCCGCGCAGCGCGCTGTTTGAGGGGTATAACAACAGTGGAGGGGCGGGGAATACTCCGAATCGGTATGCAGGTGGTGCTGGGTATGGCAGAGGGGGAGGAGCAGCAGGAGGGGGCGTGAATGGGGGGTATGGGAATGGCAATGGGAGTGGGAGTGGAGGGCCTGGGGTTGATGGGCCGGGGTACAGGCCTGCGACGCCGAATCGGAAGTGAGTCGGTCTCTTGCTTCTCTGTTTACTCTTTCCAGGAGGCTGCGGTTGGTTGGGATGTGGAGATTGAGCTTGGATACGGGATTTGGAGGAACACGATGGATGAATTGGATGGGACGGGACGGACAGTGTCGATGCTGTTGTATGGATACATACTGACTGACTGACTGACGGGATCCGCAGAGGCCAATACAGCGACGCCGTGCTCAACGAACTCGAGTCCCAGAACGACGGCCAGGTCGAAGGCATACTTGGCAAAGTCCGCCAGCTGAAAGACGTACGTCTGTCCTGTTTCGCTTCCCCTTTCTTCCCCTTCTCCCGATTGCCATATCTCGCATACCCCATCATCATCATCATCATCATCATCATCATTGTCACTACTTGTGTATGTGTATATGTGATTTGTATGTGTGTACTAATTCTCCCATCGACGCCCTAGATGACAATGGCCATCGGCGACGAGATCCGCGACTCATCGGCTCTCGCAGAGAAGATGAACGACTCGTTCGATGGGACGCGCCTACGTCTCAAGGGTACCATGAATCGCATGCTGGTCATGGCCGAGCGGACGGGCGTCGGTTGGAAGGTGTGGCTGGCCTTCTTTGCTGCCGTGGGGTTCTTGTTCTTCTGGGTGTGGATTTGAGCCGATGCTTGAAGGTGTGGGGATGGGAGAAGACCTGGAGGGGGGGGGGGGGGGGGGTGGGGGGGGGTGGGTTATGTATACATGGAAGATGCTGCATATATTGTATATTGATTGCACTGGCGTTGGGGCTTGGTAAAGAAAACGATGGGGAAGGGAGAAAGGAGGGGAGAAGTTGTATCCTGTCTTTCTTGTGGTCGGGCTTGGGGCGTTGATTGGCAGCTCATACCATAGCTTCCAAAGTCTTGTCTGGTTCTCTAATTTGGGGTATCTGATTTTGAGGGTTACTAGTAAGGTAGGCTTCGCTTCATACACTATGTTGGATAACACTGCACCTCTTCTTCGGTACTGGCAAACCAGATACCTGGCGCTCGCTTCCTTCCGAAGAGCCTTACGACGGCCGCCCAGCCGATCTGTTAGAGGCGCTCCGTCTAGACGCTCGTCTCGGAGGACTTCCCATCTCGCTACTGTCTGCCATCAGGTTACTCAAGTCCATACTATTCTGCGTCCCATCACTCCTAACCATACTCATCGCAGCCTGATGTCGTGAAATTTGACTCTCGTCGGCACCGTCGTCGTCACTACTCGATAGTTCCTCCTCGGTATCCGTGTGCTCGTAGCCGTCAGCCGATGCTTCAGGGATATCCGCGTCCAGGTCGGCATCTATGTCCATGTCCAGATCATACTGTCTCTGCTGATGACGATGTTCATGAATCAAGTCTTCCTCTTGCAACAAATCCCCCGCGGCTTCCTCCCCATCTCCTACCGAGCCCTCCCCACTGAACTGCGAGCGTCTGACTTCATCGCCTCGAACCAAAGCCTCGCGATAAACATCATCCGGTAACCTTGACGCCAGAACGTTTGCGGGGAAATCTTGCATATGCCCTCCACCCTCTTCTTCCTCCTCCTCTATATCACTCCCCTCGTCGCTACTATCCAGTAGCCCCGCCGTCCCATTCGCATCCTCATCAGCATCCGGCACTTCATCGTCCAGATCCCTGCCCATGTCCCCCATCTCGGTACCCATGTCTTCGCCCTGCAACAGCTCATTGCCCATCTCGGCCGCCTCGGCCTCGGCGAGCTCCTGCGCGAGCGCTTCGCGGCGCAGGGCCTCCTGGTGCTCTTCCATCTCCCGCTTCTCCTCGCGGAGCTGGTGCAGGGATTTGGAGACGCCAGGGGGTTTGATCCATCCGGAGCCGTAGTTCTGGATGTTTTGCTTGCGGAGCGCGAGGTATTCTTCATCCTGGCGAAGGCGCGAGAGCGGAGTACGCTGGGTCTGGCGGTGGCGTGGATGCTGCTGCGGGTGCTGCTGCTGGGCTTGGGCGTCGCTCGGGGCACCTTGGGCGGGAGGAGTGGTGAAGGCGGATGGATGGGGCGTTGTCGAGGAGGTGTACCAGAGGGAGTAGGACTGTGTGTGGTAGGTTTTGTTAGTGGTTTGAGGGCGTCCGACCTGTTTTCGGTGTGGAAAGTGCTTGGTGTGGTCAAGAGAGGGGGGGAATGATTGAGGGAACAGAGGCAGGAAAAGTTTGGACTCACATCCTGCGGTGCTAGACTTGGTAGAGAGAACATGCTGAAGAGCTGGTGCAAATGAACGATGCTAGAATTGAGCGACTTTGTTTGTTGACGTTGATGCTGAGGCTGAGGCTGAGGCTGAGGCGATGCGAGGTGGTGCACGATGCTACGTAGTACGTACCGGTACCGGTAGTACTACGTACTTCCTATCTGCAGGGGGGGGGGGGAGGGTTGAACGCTCGGCCCACGAGGCTGGGTGGCGTGGGGTCGGGGTCGGGGTGGGGTGGGGTGTGGTGTGATGTGTAAGAAAGTCAAGTTTTGACCGAGGTCCATCTCTCTCAGCCTTGTCCCGAGAAGGCGCTCATTCATTCCATTCCACTTTACTTACTGTACTACGTACTTACTGTCTCTGTATTGTGGACTTGACCGCGCTTGCGGTATCATCTCGTTTCTTCTGGCTTGGATTGGTCGAGGAAGTAGGGAACATCGCAGTCCATGGAAATTGTCATGCGTGCTTTCTTGGATCTCACCTCACGGCAAGGAGCTCTCGATTCGATCCGAAGTACCGTTTTGCCCCAAACACGAACCCGAATGCGCCCGAGTGTCGATGTCGATGTTGTCACCATAATATTGGGTTGGTAGTTGCAGTGTATAATGCCTGTGCTGTCATTGGCTGCAGTCTCGGATGCTTGGGTCGGTCTTGACCAATCATATCTGGGAAGGCGATGCGATATCGGGGGTAGCTTTTGTTCGCTTCTTTTCTTTCTTCTTGGTAGACGAAACAAGGCTACGCTACCACTGACGCTACCTGGGGGAGCGGGGGAAGGGGGGAAGGGGGGAAGGGGGGGGGAAGGGGGTGGGGGGTTGGCCACGATAAGTACTCTGTATATCTAGTGGTAGGTATCGTACGTATTACTTGCTGCATATATGTAAGCGACTTTCCATATCCTGAATCGGCTGCTTTGCTGTGCGGTGCGGTGCGGTGCTGCACAGTACAAGATGGTCGAGGGACAACCAAAGTACCTACCTAGGTAGGTACCGGTAGTACAACAAGTACTTGGCTATCATAGTCATGCCCTCATGCTGTTGACAAGATCGATTCATCGTGGCAGATAGGCAGGCTACCGGCAATGAACCATGGCATGCGAAGATCTGTAGTTGTTAATTGTACGGAGTAGTTGTACTACACTACCGGTACTATAGTACTTGTAGTTGTAGTATTGTGGAAATACTACCCCTACTACCTACTGCCTAGACACTTTCACCCTGGTCCTAGCTAGTCCAAGCTTTCAGATGCGAATTTACTACCCTACTAAGTACTGGTACAGTATACTCCGTACCTACTCCATGAATGGTCGAAGTACCACGTACTAGCCCTCTCCTAGCTCCGGCAAGGAATATTCACTCGCCGCCCGCTACGCACTCAACGCCAGACCAAATGGAAAAAAAAAAAGCCTTTAAAGTCCTTCCCCCTCCCGCCACCACCCTCTTTCTTCCCTCCCCGACTCCAATCCGAACAACACAACCCCCAAGCAGAGGAATTTTCTTGCTCTGAGCCCAAAACAATTGCACAATGTGAGTGATGATGTTATGTTATGTTATGTTATGTTCGGTCCTGTTCTGCTTTGCTCCCTTGACTTCCCAACTACTCACCTGCTACCGGCGCGGGGTCAGCATCAGCGATCAAGCAATCATATATGGACGGACCCAAAAGCCAACAGGAGCTCGATAACATCCATCCTGCTCTCGGTATAGCAAGACCGGAACAACAGTTGTGGAGATGGAAAATGCAAATTTGCATTTCAATTTCGTCAATCGAGATTCACCCATGTGCTTATCACCCATTCGTTTATTCGTTTATGCATTGAGGTGCAGACAAAAAAGAATCCGTCCGCCCAGTCCTGACGCAGTCAACCACCGACCACCGCGATTGACTGCGCTAGGTCTGGAACTCCCGGTTTCACTGCTACTGCATGCCTTCCCCTCAATTCAAACCCGCCAATGCTTATCAACTTTCGGACTTGAGATTTGGTTTGCTCTTCCTTATCTCCTTGACTAACATCAATTTTGCCCCTAGACAAATAAACATTACAATCAAGCGCTAAGAGAGACGATTTCCGCAAAGCACTACATAGGCGGACAACATCCCTTCGTTTGGACTATCGCTTCCTCTCGACTATCGCTTCCTCAACCCTTTTACTCTCGAAGTCGCCGCTACTTTGCCTGCTATGGCAAAAGTCGACGATTTCAACGATAGACAAAACCAGATTGACGCCGAGAACGAGCCATATCATCAATATGAATATCAGACAGAGGAGAACGAGTCTTGGGCAGGAGCTCTGCCAGTGAAGCAGTGAGTTCCACAAGAGCCTGCTCTGCTGGTCTAGCGAAACTAACCAAGTGATTAGAGGATTATACGATCCTGGCTTGGAGAAAGATGCGTGCGGTGTTGGCTTTGCTTGGTACGTACGAATGCAGAGGCCTGGAAAAAAGAGGAAGAAACACAACTAACCTCAAGCAGCCACATAAAGGGCAAGGCGAGCCACAAGATTGTTAGCGATGGTATGCCCACATCCCTATCTTTATAGAACCAGTATGCTGACATGCCGTCACTCTAGCGCGGAACTTGCTGTGTAACATGACCCATCGCGGTGCGGTCGGGTCCGATGCGCGAGACGGAGATGGAGCGGGTGTTATGACTTCAATCCCCCACAAGTTCTTCATCAAGAATTTTGAACGCGAAACGGATATCAAGCTTCCACCTCTAGGGCAATATGCCGTGGGCAATCTTTTCTTCAAGCCAGATGAGGAGACTTTGCATGAATCAAAGAGACAATTGGAAGAGATCTCAGAGTCACTGGGGTTGAGAGTATTGGGGTGGCGGGAGCCTCCTAAAGATTCCACTCTCCTTGGTCCCGCGGCTGCTTCTCGTGAGCCAACTATTCTGCAGCCATTCGTTGTACTTGCTTCTGCATATGGTTCTGGCAACTCGCCCGAGATCACAGACCCCAGTCTTTTTGATGACAAACACTTCGAAAGACAGCTCTATGTACTGCGAAAGCGTGCAACCCACACCATTGGCTTGCACAACTGGTTCTACCTGTGCTCTCTGTCCAACAAGAACATTGTGTACAAAGGCCAGCTTGCTCCCATCCAAGTATATCAGTACTATTATGATCTGGTCAACGCCGATTACGAAGCCCATTTCGCTCTCGTGCATTCCCGTTTTTCTACCAACACCTTCCCTTCCTGGGATCGTGCCCAACCCCTGAGATGGGCAGCTCACAATGGTAAGGGCCTCGTAATATCCAATCAACAGCCGCGCGGGTACTAACCTCTGACTAGGTGAAATCAATACTTTGCGAGGGAACAAGAACTGGATGCGAGCTCGCGAGGGTGTCATGCAGTCCGATATTTTTGGCGAAGAGCTTGAATCGCTCTACCCAATCGTTGAAGATGGTGGCTCCGATTCGGCCGCCTTCGACAATGTCCTGGAACTGTTGACCATCAATGGTGTGTTGTCGCTCCCAGAGGCGGTCATGCTTATGGTGCCTGAAGCGTGGGAGGACAACCCCGCGATGGATCCTGCCAAGGCCGCCTTCTACGAGTGGGCAGCTTGTCAGATGGAGCCTTGGGATGGTCCAGCGCTCTTTACATTCGCGGATGGACGGTACTGCGGTGCCAACCTGGACCGAAACGGTCTCCGACCTTGCAGGTACTACGTTATGGATGATGACAGAATTATTTGTGCATCAGAAGTCGGGACTATCCCCGTTGACCCCGAGCGTGTTATCCTCAAGGGTCGCTTGCAACCGGGAAAGATGTTGCTGGTCGATACGCTTGCTGGTCGCATCATCGACGACAGTGAGCTGAAAAGCACGGTGTCTACTCGCCAGGACTTCAGAGCTTGGCTTCAGAAGGAGCTGTTAAGCTTGCCAAAGATCCTTGAGGATCTTCTCACTCAAGGAGCAGTCGAACTGGCCCCAAAGCCAGATGCTTCTCAAATCCAGGAGGACCCCATGCTGAGAGCATTCGGATACTCTTTCGAACAAGTCAGTCTGCTTCTCGGTCCCATGGCCACTGATGAGAAGGAGGCTCTTGGATCCATGGGAAACGACGCTCCGCTGGCCTGCCTGGCTCAGGCTCCTCGTCTGCTGTATGAATACTTTAGACAGCTGTTCGCTCAAGTCACCAACCCTCCCATCGACCCCATCAGGGAAGCCATCGTCATGTCTCTGCAGTGCTACGTTGGACCTCAGGGCAACTTGCTCGAGATGGATTCTTCCCAGTGTGGTCGATTGCTTCTCCCAACCCCAGTCCTCTCCATCCCCGAGTTCAATGCGTTGAAGAACATCAACAGGATGAATTCTGCCTGGACTGTCAAGGTCATTGATTTGACATTCCCCAAGTCAGAGGGTGTTCAAGGATATATCAACCATTTGGACGAGATATGCGACCAGGCAACTGCAGCCATCAACAATAAGGACCGCATCATCATCCTATCCGATCGTGCCACTTCCGCAGACCGCGTTCCCGTATCTGCTCTACTCGCATCCGGTATGGTCCACCACCACTTGGTTAACAACAAGTGGAGATCGCTTGCTGCTGTCGTTGTCGAGACTGCCGAGGCCCGCGAAGTCCACCACATGTGCGTGCTGCTCGGATACGGCGCTGATGCCATCAACCCATACCTCGCTATGGAGTGCATCATCAAGCTGAACCGAGAGGGTCTTATCCGAAAGAAGCTCACCGACGATGAGCTCATCCGCAACTACAAGTATTCCGCGGATGGAGGTATCTTGAAGGTGATGAGCAAGATGGGTATCTCCACCCTGGCCAGTTACAAGGGTGCTCAGATCTTCGAGGCACTTGGTGTTGATGACACGGTTGTAGATCGCTGCTTCAAGGGAACCGCCACCAGAATCAAGGGCATCACTTTCGAGCTGATCGCAGAGGATGCTTTCAGATTCCACGAGAAGGGTTTCCCATCCCGATATACCGTCTCTGTTCCAGGTCTTGTCGAGTCTGGCGAGTACCATTGGCGTGACGGCGGAGAGCCCCACATCAATGATCCGACATCGATTGCCAACATCCAGGATGCGGTCCGTACCAAGAACGACAAGTCGTACGAGGCTTATTCTCGCTCCGAGTACGAGCAAATCAAGTCTTGCACCCTTCGAGGTCTTCTAGATTTCAAGTTTGATGAGTGCTCTCCGGTGCCCATCGACCAAGTTGAGCCATGGACCGAGATTGTCCGCCGCTTCTGTACGGGAGCCATGTCCTATGGTTCTATTTCTATGGAATCCCATTCTACTCTTGCTGTGGCAATGAACCGACTTGGTGGAAAATCCAACACCGGAGAAGGAGGAGAAGACCCTGAGCGATCCGAGAGAATGGCGAACGGCGATACCATGCGTTCTGCCATCAAACAGGTTGCATCCGGCCGCTTCGGTGTCACTTCCAACTACCTCGCCGACTCTGATGAGCTCCAGATTAAGATGGCACAAGGCGCTAAGCCTGGAGAAGGTGGTGAGCTACCCGGCCATAAGGTTTCGAAGTCCATTGCCCGCACGCGTCACTCTACCCCTGGTGTTGGTCTCATTTCCCCACCACCCCACCACGACATCTACAGTATCGAAGATTTGAAGCAACTCATCTACGATCTCAAGTGCTCTAACCCTCGTGCCCGAGTATCTGTCAAGCTTGTCTCCGAGACGGGTGTTGGAATCGTCGCTTCGGGTGTCGCCAAGGCCAAGGCCGACCACATCTTGATTTCGGGTCATGATGGTGGAACTGGTGCTTCCCGATGGACCGGTATTAAATATGCCGGTCTTCCTTGGGAGCTTGGTCTTGCCGAGACCCATCAGACTCTGGTTCTGAACGATCTCCGTGGTCGTGTCGTTGTCCAGACTGATGGTCAACTCCGAACCGGACGCGATGTTGCTATTGCCTGTCTGCTCGGCGCTGAGGAGTGGGGCTTTGCCACTACTCCTCTGATCGCTATGGGGTGTATCTTCATGAGAAAATGCCACACGGTAGGAGATTTGTATTCGCTCATATTAATATGCTAACATGTCTTCAGAATACGTGCCCGGTTGGTATCGCCACCCAAGACCCTGAGCTCAGAAAGAAGTTCAAGGGTAGTCCGGAACATGTCATCAACTTCTTCTACTACATTGCTAATGAGCTTCGTGCTATCATGGCTAAGCTTGGCTTCAGGACCATTAACGAAATGGTTGGTCACGCTGAGAAGTTGAGAGTTCGTGAAGATCTTCGAACTCCCAAAACTCAAAACATTGATTTGTCATTGATACTCACACCGGCCCACAAGCTACGACCTGGGGTTGCGACTTTCAATGTTCGCAAGCAGGACCATCGTCTCTACGTTAGACTCGACAACAAGCTGATTTCAGAGGCTGAATTGACTCTTGACAAAGGATTGCCTTCCCGAATTGAGTGCGATGTCGTTAATACCGACCGTGCCATGGGAACTTCGCTCTCGTACCAAATTTCCAAGCGTTACGGTGAAGAGGGGCTTCCCATGGACACTGTCCACGTCAATATCAAGGGTTCTGCTGGTCAATCATTCGGTGCTTTCCTCGCACCGGGGGTCACTTTGGAGCTGGAGGGAGATTCCAACGACTATGTTGGAAAAGGTCTTTCAGGAGGACGCCTCATCATCTACCCTCCACGCGCAGCCGTCTTCAAGGCAGAGGAGAATGTCATCGTTGGCAACGTCTGCTTATACGGTGCCACCAGTGGAACTTGTTTCTTCCGTGGTGTTGCTGCAGAGCGATTTGCTGTTCGCAACTCGGGTGCCACCGCTGTCGTTGAGGGTGTCGGTGATCACGGATGTGAGTACATGACTGGAGGTCGTGTGCTCATTCTTGGAAGCACTGGTCGCAACTTTGCTGCCGGCATGTCTGGTGGAATTGCCTATATCCTGGATATCCAGCAAGACTTCATGTCTAAGCTTAACCCTGAGATGGTTGAAGCATCCGGCATTGATGATCCAACTGAGATTGCCTACGTACGAGGCTTGATCGAGGATCACCACCACTACACCGGCTCCGAACTTGCCGCCCGTATCCTCCTCGACTTCAACCGAGCCCTTCCACGATTCGTGAAGGTCCTGCCAGTTGACTACAAGCGTGTTCTCGCCGAAGAGGCCGCTAAGGCAGCTGAGGCCAAGCGAGCTGAGTTCCAGATGCCAAACATCCCCGGTCTAGCAATTCGTGAGCACGAGGATAAGATGAAGGAGAAGGCTAAGCACGCGAAGTCCAGCGTGCAGGACATCGAGGAGTCCATTGGCGATTCTGCCGTCGAGAAGAAGAGATCTCTCGTCTTGGACAAGACCAGGGGTTTCATGAAGTATCAACGCCGCTCCGAGAAATACCGTTCTGCAAAGACGCGAACTCGCGATTGGGCTGAGCTTTCCAAGCGTCTCGACGAGGATGAGCTTAAGTACCAAGCTGCTCGCTGCATGGACTGTGGTGTTCCCTTCTGTCAGTCTGACTCTGGCTGCCCTATTTCTAACATCATTCCCAAATGGAACGAGCTGGCGTTTCGCGGCTCCTGGAGAGATGCTCTCAATCGTCTGCTCATGACCAACAACTTTCCCGAGTTTACCGGGCGTGTTTGCCCTGCTCCTTGCGAAGGTGCTTGCGTCCTCGGCATTAACGAAGACCCAGTCGGGATCAAGTCAATCGAGTGTGCCATCATCGACCGTGGATTTGACATGGGCTGGATGATTCCTCAGCCACCAAAGGTCCGCACTGGAAAAACCGTAGCCATCATTGGATCTGGACCCGCCGGTCTTGCATGTGCCGATCAGCTCAACAAGGCTGGGCACTCGGTCACCCTCTACGAACGCGCCGATCGTCTGGGTGGCCTTCTCATGTATGGTATCCCCAACATGAAACTCGACAAGAAGATTGTCAAACGTCGTACGGACTTCATGGCTGCGGAGGGCATCGTTTTCAAGACTGGCGTCGCTATCGGAGAACAAATCACCCTTAATGACCTCAAGGCTGAGAACGATGCTGTCGTCATTGCCACTGGTGCTACAGTCGCTCGCGATCTCCCAATCAAAAACAGAAACCTTGAGGGTATCCATTTTGCCATGCAATTCCTCCACAAGAATACAAAGTCTCTTCTTGACTCTGAGCTTGCGGATGGTGAATTCATCTCGGCTAAGGGCAAGAACGTCGTGGTTATCGGTGGTGGTGACACTGGAAACGACTGCATCGGCACCTCGCTTCGTCACGGTGCCAAGTCCGTCACCAACTTCGAGTTGTTGCCACAGCCACCTAACGAGCGTGCCCGCGACAACCCATGGCCTCAGTGGCCCAGAATATACCGTGTCGACTACGGCCACACAGAGGTCAAGCAGCACATGGGCAAGGATCCTCGTGAATTCTGTGTCATGTCTGAGGAATTCGTCGATGACGGAGAGGGCAGAGTCAAGGGCATTAACACTATCCGTGTTGAGTGGACCAAGTCTGCTACTGGGGGATGGGACATGAAGAAAATCGAGGGCTCCCAGCAATTCTTTCCTGCCGAGCTTGTTCTCCTGTCCATGGGTTTCCTTGGCCCCGAGGACCGCGTTCTTGGTGACGAGGTGGAGAAGGACGCTCGTAAGAACGTCAAGACCCCTCCTGGGAAGTACCACACCAACATGGAAGGTGTCTTTGCTGCTGGTGACTGCCGCCGTGGACAGTCCCTCATCGTCTGGTACGTCTTAACTAAGATCACCTGAACTTCACTCTTGCTAACCATTTACTTAGGGGTATCAACGAAGGCCGTCAATCCGCTCGTGAGGTTGATCTCTACCTTGAAGGATCTACCGGCCTGCCTGTCACTGGTGGTATCGTCAAGCAAACCGCCAACGAGATTCTCGGCAAGCACGCAGCAAAGGAGGTGCAAGGGCGCGCCGAGCGTGCTCCCATCCAAGTCACTGCTGCCGCAAACTGATGGGCACGATAACAGAAAGATATGTAGATGAGCCTACGACGATGAAATCTCATGAAGGAGCGACAGGGAACTGCATAAGAGGATTGCTAGAAAAGTCAAAGGCATGCGGGGTCGGGGTGACGAAGGAAGACATACAAACGGGCTTTTACGCTTTCTTGCAACGATACCAGATTTGAGCACTGCTTGCACGGATAGAGTGGGGGGCTGGATATATTCTGTGCGGCAATTTTCACACCTGATGCATTTTACGACACCAGTGAACACTTCTGTTAGGAGGGGCGATGCGGTGGGGGGGATTCTTGGGTCGTTATCGCTGCTGGGAGAGGGAGTTTGATAATGCTTGCTGGCGATGATTTTCTTCTAATGGGTTGTACATAGGAAATGCAATCGTACATAAACGTTTGAAGGGTGTCGTGATGTGACCATGCCAAACAATCGTGCCCAAGGATTAGGGATGTCGCTGCCAATAGAGCATTCTCGCTACCGCTGTACCCGCTACAAGCGTGTTGAGGTGGGATGAAAAAAGAAAGAAAAAGAACCTCTTCATAGTATATCATCCCATCCCGAATGCCTGCAATGAACTCCCTATCGATAGCTACATTACACAAGATCTACCGTAGTACCTACGCTGCCAAATTTCGCATGAACCCCTGCGGGCAAGCGCCAGGATGTAGAGCTTGTTGATATTCTTCCTCACGTGTTTGCCGTTAAAGTGCAGGAACTAAGCTTTGGGAATAGAGACAACAACAACTTCTGCCCATTTTACAGCCATCATTGCGCACTTGAAGACAATTGTTCTGTAGCGTAAAGAGGAAAGGCTATTGCTCCTTCTGCTACTGCACTCTCATCCTCACCAACTAATAGCAGCAGCGCAGCGCCGGGCTTGTACTGACAGTTCCCCAGCTGCCCCGCTCCAATAACCGGTCGGATCCGGATTCGAAGCCAAAAAAATCTCAACTCACCACACCAACACCAACCCGCCCCCAAGATGCGTTTCGGGAAAAAGCTCCGCAACTCCATCTACCCGAAGTGGAAGGACCAGTACATCGACTACGCGAAGCTCAAGAACCTACTGCGCGAGGACGAGGAGGAGGACTCGCGCTGGACGGAGGAGGACGAGAGTCGATTCAGCGACGAGATCCTGACGGTTCAGCTCGAGAAGGTCGCTGCCTTTCAGCAGGAGACGTTCAAGGGCCTCGAGCAGCGTACCAATGCCGCGGCCGACAAGCTGAAGGAGCTGGCGCCAGAGGATGCCAGTGGCAGTGGTAGTGGCAGGGGGAGTAGGAGCGGCAACGGCAAGGCGAAGGGTGACACTTTGACGGGCAGGTTCAAGGCGATCGAGGCCGAGCTGGACGATATCATCAACGAGACGAAGGAGCTGAAGAAGTATAGCAGCATCAACTACACGGGCTTCCTGAAGATCGTCAAGAAACATGATCGGAAGCGGGGGAGCAATTACAAGATCCGCCCGATCATGCTGATGAGTCTTTCGAGCCGGCCGTTCAATTCGGAGAGCGGGTACTCGCCGCTGTTGAATAAGCTGTCGATTATGTATTACGCGGTTCGTCAGCAGCTGGACGAGACGGAGGCGCCGCCGGGGACGTCGATTCCGGATGCGCAATCGCAGATTCAAAATGGAGAGAGGTATACTGCATACAAGTGTAAATATGAAAATCATCACTTCGGATGCTCTACTAATTATCTACAGTCTGGGTACACCCCGATAACCTGTTAGAGGTCAAGACTTTCATCCTTCGTCGGCTGCCCGTTCTGGTCTACAGTGAACAGTCCTCCAAGGACAATGAAAGCCGAGGCGATCCCACGCTCAATTCCCTCTACTTCGACAATCCAGAATTTTCGATCTACAACCAGAAAGTCGATCGTCAGGTTGACGTGCCGTCGCTTCGAATCCGTTGGTTTGGACAATTCAAGTCCGGCCCCGAGTTCATCATTGAGAAGAAGTTGATACATGAGAATGGAACTAGCGAGGAGCAGAAGTTTACGATCAAGGAGAAATACATCCAGCCTTTCATCAAGGGCGAGTACAAGATGGAGAAGACCATCCAGAAGATGGAGCGTCAGGGTCAGCCGGAAGCCCGGGTGGAGGAGTTCAAGAGTACTGTTGCGGATATCCAGAAGTTTATTCTGGAGAAGGAGCTGCAACCAGTCCTACGAGCGAACTATACCCGCACTGCGTTCCAGAAACCATTGGATGACCGTGTCAGGATCTCCATCGATACTTCGGTGGCTTTCATCAGAGAGGATGCCATCGATCCGGACAGGCCTTGCAGGAACCCTGATAGCTGGCACAGACTAGACATCGACGAGGGAGCGATGGTCTACCCATTCGCGAATGTGAACAAGGGCGAGATCTCCAGATTCCCTTACTCGATTCTCGAGATCAAGGTCAAAGATGAGGTTTCCAAGAAACACCCTCAATGGGTTGAAGATTTGATGGCATCTCATCTTGTCCACAAGGCACCTCGATTCTCAAAGTTCGTTCACGGGGTTGCGTCGCTCTTCGAAGACAATGTCAACAACCTTCCATTTTGGCTCGGTGAGCTCGAAATCGACATTCGCAAGGATCCACAAGCTGCCTTTGATGAAGAGGAAGAGAGAAAGGCGAAGCAGGCTGAAACCGAACAAGCTGTCGGCAGTCTGCTTGGAGCCTCAGTTGGTAAGAGTTACCGCGCTCCGGTCAGCTCGCCGCTTGGAAAATCCTACATGCAGGAGCGCATGGCAGCCGAGGAACGTTCTGGCAAGGCTAGTGGCCGGAACGGACGGGGCAAGTCAAGTACAGAAGACATTGATGAAGGCAACGGGGATGATGAGGGAGATTCAAGCAACCAACGTAGTTACGGAACCATGAGCTCGCTCTTCCCATCGGCGAGATCCTTCACGAAATACGCTCAAGCTCGCAAACAACAAAATGTCGTCCTGCCGCCCGGTGTCACGAAACCTACGCTTCTCATCAAAGATTCTGGTCCGCTCCAGGTAGAGCCCAAGGTTTGGCTCGCCAACGAGAGAACTTTCCTCAAATGGCAACATATTTGCGTGCTCCTTGGTGTCCTTGCTGTCTCCTTGTACAACAGTGCTGGTGAAAGTGGGATTGCCAAGGCCTTTGGCATTGTCTTCTTGTTCATCTCTATTTTCACGGGCGTCTGGGGCACGGTGCAGCACCGGATTCGGAGGAATATGATAGTAGAGAGGAGTGGCAAGGATTTCGATAACATGGTTGGGCCGATTATCGTCAGTGTCGCTCTGATGGTTTCGCTGATATTGAATGCGTGGCTCCAGGTAAGAAACATGATCTCTGAATATATGTATACTTTGATTTTTTTGACAGGCAAAGCTGACGGCCGATAGTTTGGTGCTGCGATGAAGAAAATGGAGGACCCGGTGCGTGGCAACGTTACTGCTACTGCGGGCGGAGCACATGATGTAAAAATTGAGCTGATGTGAGTGAAGGGTAGAATCCTTTTTCTTGTAGAAGAAGGGTTCCAAGATGCAGTAGTGCTCATCGGGCAATAAATACCATGAGATAATAGACGGCGGACACTGGAGTACAGGTGTAGTAGATAAACTATAGTATCGCTAGCTGCGGGTCTTCCTGGCGAATGTACAAAGATTATCAGAATATTCTTCTATACCTTCACCCTGTGATAAAGTGTTGTTTTTCGAGTTGTGCAGACTCAAAGTGGATGCTCGGGAGCCAACTATGAACCATGTGCGGATCTGCTCTTGGCGCAAGGCTGCTGTCCCAGCTCCCCTCCATCTCGCAAGCCCCTCACGAAGCTTCAAGATGGAGACTGAACAGCTCGAACAGCTCGAACAGCTCGAACAGCTCCAAAACGTGGAGGAAAAGCCTGCTGAGGCCAGAATTTCATAGACAGGCAAGCCAAAATGGAGAGCATTTACAACTCGCCGTCCTTTTGGCGATAGGCCAAGATGAGGTTTCGACTCAGCCTCGCACCATACCGTGGACAAACATCTATCCATCCCTTGACGCCTTCGTTGACCATGCCTTGGACATCACACAATGAGCGAAGCCAAACGCAAGATCTTCGGCCTCTTCCGAAGCAAGAGTGCTGCAGTACAACCCCAAGAGCCCTCTCAAGACGTACCTACTCACCCATCAATCCCCCCATCCCTCCCCTCATCAACTCTAACAAGAGGAACAGGGCAGAGAGAAACAGCGAGACCGAGACAAACACAGAGAGCGGAAATCTCACCGTGAACGTGAGAGTACAGGACACTCTTCTCGACGTAAAACCCGCCCACGCAACTCGCACAATCTACAGACCAGGTCCTCGCCCTCGCGCCGGGCGTCCAACGCGTCTATTCCCGCGCGCGCAACCCTGAGCCCAAATCTCTTGACGGTATGGCCACCGAAGGGATACTCGCGGCACGAGTCGCTGTCGCAGGGACGCGCGATGGAACACATTGCCTCGGGCGTCCCGGTGTTCAAGGGCATTAGGAAGTCGATCCCGCATGCCACAGAGGAATACTACCAGCTGTACGCGACGTGTAAGGGCAACGGCGGGGTCGACACGGATCGCGGGGAGGTGTACACGGGTGCTTTCGCGGCGTGCTCGATGAGCCTGCTAAATTTCGGAGGACAGCCGCCGAGGTACCCGTGGGAGACGCTAGAGCAGCCCAGCATGGCATTCTGCTATGGGGTGCAGCCGGGTACCGTGACGCTGAATCATTGGGTGTCGCTGAGCGGGCGGTTGAATCCTAGTATTGAGCTTCGGGATCCCGGGATCGTGCCGAGGGACGTGGACTTGTCTACTGTGCTCGACCGGTTGATCTTCCTCGAGAAGGGATTCGAGGAGGAGTACGAGGATCTCATGTACAAGAATCTCTATCGCAACCTTCTGAAGGATCCGGACCGCTTGTTCAACCCGCACAAGGCGATGGAGAAGCAGATCTCGGACCTGATCATGGTGCTGTCACGCAAGCAGTGGGTTGACTTCAGCAGGCCCGAGAACCAGGTTGTGGCCAAGTTCTTTGCGAATGCTTACTACACAGACCAGGGGCGGTATAAGTTGTTCTTCCATCAGCTGTTGCTGAGCATGGAGCTGTTCTTGAGGATCCATTCGAAGCAGCATGCTGACTACGCGAAGGAGAAGCTGTTGGCGCAGTTGCCGCCGTGTATCCAGTGGGATCTTGCGCTGGCGATGAAATGGAGGGAGTGTATGAGCATAAGGAAGTTTGAATCGGGTGGGAATCCGGAGACGAGTAAGCTTCACTTCCTAGATATCTTCAATGATGTTTTTGGGCTAGTACTGATAGGACTCGCAGTCAAGTTTCATCTCCACAAGAAGAAAGCCCAAGTCAAAGCTTTGCGAAAATTCGCCAGAGTTATGAAGTGGCCCAATCTAGCAAGGGTAGATGAGGTTCTCAAAGATCGAGACGTAGATGCTACTCCCTTGGAAGACCGCTCATCAGATGCCATGTCCTACTTCACTGGCATGATCCTGCCCGGTGCTACACTACCCTGGCTGATAATGAACTCCCTCATTGACTGCGACAGCGAGACAGGCGGTAACGCTCTAGCAGCTCTATCACACCTGCATCCTCACAGCGGCTTTCAATACCGCGGTCAAACCTACTGGTCGGCTACCTCAATAGTCGGCAAAGTCCTCGCTCCCACATGCCGAGAGGTAGCGGGATGGATCGGTCCGTCCCGCCCAGCTCCAGATCTCTCACGCATCCAAATCGCACGCATAAGACAGCGAAGGCCGAAACAACGGCTCACCGTCAGCGATACCGGCAGCATGACCGAACGCTCTGACTGCCTCGGTCCCCCGTCCGACAGATACCCCGTGTCTGAATATCAGCTCCTGCTCCCGGATAACGACCCCGACTCCCTCGTAAACACGATCCGCATCGAGAAACTCGCGCTTAAACCCGTGCCCTCTGCTTCGACTGGCGTCTCGCCGTCGCGGTCGCGGTCCTCCAGCCAGGGCAAGGACGACGGAAAGCCGCTCACCTACGACGCCGCGGTCCAGTTTGCTATTGGCGGGAGGTCGTGGCCGCTTCGCCTCTCCTACGACGTCTCGTTCATCTTTGCGTATCCCTGTGAACGCGGTCCGCACCCTCTCTTTTTCGACTACGTGTACAAAGCGGTCAAGATTGACGAGCTGCTCACCGTCATGAACTGGGGCGGCTTGAATATGAACATCAATCCGGGCAGCAAATACAGCAGTCTATCTAGAGCAGTTGCCGGGGCCGGGGCCGGGAGCGGCAGCCCAGGTGGAGATGGCGAGGACGATGACGAGGAGAAGGTGCTCGTGGTGGAGGCGTTCGGGGTTACTGATAACGAGGTGCTGGCACGGGCTTGGTGCAGCCATTGGGGGCTTAGTGCTGTGGTTGCTGATGTGGAGAAGAGCTGTATGGCGTGCGCGATTCGCGAGGCGTATGCGGCCTGCTTGAACGTTGTGATTCTCGTTGATGAGGCGAGTACTCGTGATGGCGATTCTTGACTGGGCTGGATTTGAAAGGCGGGAAGTGGTGGCTTGATCGGCACCACACTATGACACCAGCATTGATTTATTGGCTGATGGGGGATTGATGGGTTGGGCTGGGCTGGGCTATCGGTTTTGCTTGAAATATACCAGGCGTTGGGTTTACCCGTTATACAAATTTGCGGTGGGAAACTTCGCGTTTCGGTTTTCTACTTCGAAATACAATTATTATTGTTAATTTTCAAGCCGAGTGTTGAGAGAGAGAGAGAGAGATTGTTAAGAAACCAAAATCAGAGAGGTTCTTTTCTACGTTTATTAATCGTCGGTTCCCTTGAATTTGACTTGTAAAAAACCCCGAAGGCGGGACAGTAACGGTACACCACCACCTACTACACAACAGCTACTAACATGAACACAACAGCTACTAATATGAACAGAAAAAAAGACATGCTCAGAAAATTACAAACGTATATTACTAATATAAAGATGCATTCACCTGTGGTGACCTAATTAATATCCTAAAAATGTAGTGAAAAAAAAAAAGAAAAA